GATTAATAAATATTATCCGACAAAAAATAAATAAACGAAAACAAAAGTTGATTAATATAAACGTCAACTCTAAACGAAAATAGAAATGACGTCATTTGGTTAGATCTGAGGAATTTCTTTTCTAAAAATAGATATGACGTGCGAGCCAGCTCTGAGTTTCTTAAGATAAGCATGACGTCATTTAAGTTTCTAAAACTAGTTATGACGTCATTGACACCGACTCCAAAAATAGATATGATGTCATGATGAAATTAGTGACGTCACGCGGTCACTAACGTGACGTCATCAGGGTGGATCCACTATCCACCCGATCCACCCGACGTAGAACCGCTATTTCCTATACTACTTCAAAGCAATGACTCTTTTAAAACGTTCACATAATCTTATCGTGTTCACGTTCTCCTATACGCACGTGCGCATCCATTTAATATCCTGTCTTTCTCAATTTTAAAAAATAGCTAGTCCGACTTCACGCTCCCAGAGCGTCTAGTTTAGTCTTACCATGGTAAGCCAGAAATTACACATGAATAAAGTTTATTATTATTATACATAAAAGTCCAGATTGCTAATCGTATTATACACTGTATAAGCAAGCAGTCATCGGATACCAATTAAACAAACTGACCAAAAAATCCTAATCCTTTAATTGTAATAATACTAATAATAACTGTAAATATCATATAATGATTAATTTCTTTCTTTTACTTTAACAAACTAAAGAACTCTAAATATAATTTTATCTCTAAATGCCGGAACGGAAATGAATTCCTTTTACCAACCTCACATATATATGAACGACAAAATGACTGAGTAAAAGTTCCTCATTTTCTCTTGCGCTAATTTTTTCCCAGAAACCTTCGATACCGATGCAAAATGGACTTCACAACAGACCAACTCTACTTCTTCAGGCTGTGTTACGTCGTCTTCAACACTGTTCCTGAATGTTTACAAAAGATTTTCAAGCAAGAATGGGATGCTTTATACACAGCTACTATTGGTCAGTGGGATGACACACCTGCTAGTTATGAAATGTTTTACAACATGGAGTCACCTAAGAATCAGGCAAAAAACGAACGTCTTCTGGAGCGGATGTCAAGTGGAGACAGAAAGCAGTGGGATTGCAGTTGTTTATTTTATGCAATACTTGACTCAGATAGTCTGGGGTCAAGATCAACGCTTGTTGTTAATAACAGTGTTGATGAAATACGAACAATTCTTAAAGAATTGGCACATAACAAAACCGCAAAGTTGAGTGAAGCTGAGTTCCAAACGTGCATGCAAAAGATTAAGTCAGAATTCTCATCCTTAAAGCTTGATATTACAAAAATTGAAGAAATCAATAACCAGAAATGTTTGCCCACAGAAGACCTCACCAAAATTCAGAAAGAGCTAAAGAGGACTGTAGAGGTAATGAAGAACGCCGAAAAAGAGGTAGAAAACGAAAAGGGACGCATCTCAGAACCAACCTCTTTTTGTATACTACCACCGCCTCCCTCCCATGATACAATATATAGAAAGAAAGAGGTCGACAAGATACACGAGGAGATGCAACGGTTATCAAGTGACAAGAAGGGGGGGACGACTGTGCTCTACTTGTCTGGGAATCCAGGTTCTGGAAAAAGTGTGATGGCTAAACATATTGGAGAGAAATTCTACGAAGATGATGACATCAAAGAGATGTTAACGTTTGTAATGACGCTTGATGCCTCTACCTTGGACACTTTGCTGAATTCATACATAACGTTTACAGAGAAGTTAAACTGTTCTCTGGATTCTGTAAAGAATATTACTGCATCAAAAGATCTTTCCAAGGAAGAACAAATCCTCCAACTTAGGGCTCTTGCCAATAAACAAGTGGCCAAGTATTCGAAATGGTTGATCATTGCTGACAATGTAGCCGGTGATTTAAAACTGTTCTCCAAATACTGGCCTGATGGTGATAAAGGACAGATTCTTGTTACTACCCAAGACAGCCACTTCATTGGTAATAGCTCTCACTACCACCATGTCTCACTCAGTTCTGGTATAACAGAAGAGGATGCCCTTCAACTGCTTTCTAAAGTATCCAGGGATTATAGAGATGTCGAAAACGCGGGAATGATGCTGAAAGTATCCAAAGCAGTGCATTTTCAACCACTTGCTTTATCTTTTATAGCCCTATACATGCGAAGTGTCCGCACCATCAATGAAGGCTACACATGGCTTCAATGTCTGAAGGACCTGGAGAGTGAATACGAAAAGGTACAACCAATTAACGAGAAAACCAGTTTGTCGTGCAAAACAATTCTGACTGCTGTAGTGAATCTAATCCTCCAGAGAGAGATTAGTGAAGAAGTTATGCTGCATGCATTTTGTTTCTTATCTGTCATTGCGTCAGATCCCATTCCTTTAAAGTATGTTGTCGAGTACGTGATTAAATGCATGCCCGTCGCAGACAAAACTACAGTTGTCACGACAATTTGTTCGTCGTCGCTAGTGCGTTTAATGGTCCAAGGAACAAAGAAACTTTGCGTCCATCAAGTTGTTTACGACTGTTTGCAAACGAATAAAGATGTGGCAAGAAGCAAGGTGGACATGCTTACAGTGGTTTCTGCCTTCTCTCTGCTTCCAACCATTAATGATAAATCGTTAGTCAATAGTTTGGCCGTTACAAGACCACTAGCAAATCACCTGGTGATCATTGCAAGAAGGCTAATCGACTATGTCATCAAAGAGTCCATAAGCGAAAATGATCTAGGCGATCACGTTTTCAAAGTTCTCAACAATTTGTCATTAGTTTTATTAAAGCACGGCAGTTTTGAGAGCGCACAACATTTTCTGCGTCTGCTTTTAGCATTGCAAGTGTCTAAGTCTAAATTGTCGACAAGTTCAAGAGAAGTGCTCATCGATTTAGTGGATGCCTGTCACATCAAATATATTCTAAATATGAACATAAATGGCATTCATCCATCGGTTAGCCAGACATTGGACAGTTTAGGCGTGACATATCAGAAACTAGGGCGACTTCAGGAATCAGTGGCATACTTCGAAAAGGCACTTGCCATTAAAACAGCAGCGTACAGTGAAAACCATCCATCAGTGGGTGTTACCATGAGCAACCTAGGCAATGCATACCACCAACAAGGGCTACTTGAGGAATCAATAACGTATTACGAAAAATCTCTTGCCATCGCGACAGCTGCGTACGGTGGAAATCATCCATCGGTTGGTGTTACCATGAGCAACCTAGGCAATGCATATCACCAACTAGGGCGACTGCAGAAATCGCTAACCTATTACGAGAAAGCCATCGCCATCACAAAAGCTGCGTACGGTGAATACCATCCATCGGTTGGTGAGACCATCAATAACTTAGGAAATACATATCAGCAACTTGGCCATACGCAGGAATCACTAACCTCTTACGAGAAAGCCCTTGGCATTTTAACAGCTGCTTACGGTGAACAACATCCATCGGTCGGAAAGATCATGAACAACTTAGGCAATACATGTGGGAAACTAGGCCGGTTGCAAGAATCAATAACATATTACGAAAAAGCTCTTGCAATCATAACGGCTACATACGGAGAAAGCCATCCATCAGTGGGTGACACCATCAATAACATAGGCAATACATGCCAGAAACTTGGACCATTGAATGAATCAAGAACATATTATGAGAAAGCTCTTGCAATCACAACAGCTGCATATGGAGAAAACCATCCTTCGGTGGGTGAGACCATGTACAACTTGGCCAATACATATCAGAAAGTTGGACCATTGGAGGAATCAATAACATATTACGTAAAAGCCCTTGCCATTCAAACAGCTACGTATGGCGAAAACCATCCAAACGTGGGTGCCATCTTGAACAACTTGGGCAACGCCTACAGACAGCTAGGTAGATTCGATGAGGCAAAATGGAGCTACCAGCAGGCTTTGGCTATCTTTGAGAACGCCTATGATGACGGCCATCCATTTATTTGTGGAACTGTAAAGAATCTGGGTATTCTTTTCGACTCTGAAATAAGAATGAATAGATCGCATCGAAAAAGATCAAGAGAAGGAAATCTAACAAGTGAGAAAATTCAACAATAAATCAGGATCAATTTCATATATTCGACGATTGCCATAGTAATGGTCTAACGGTGAAATAACTACAGGTTTCATAATTTCCTCGCGAATAAACTTTCACTTTATAATTCGTCGAGGAGATGTGACGAAGAGTAGCCAGATAGAGAACACGAAAGAAGTCCTTTACTGATCATATGTGTGTAACGAGTGAGTGGCCTTTTGGTGTGTTCTTGTGTTTTCCAAGATTTCTTAATTAAACATACCATTCTTTATAAGTCACGGCAATCCATCCTTCTTTTCACGAAACAGGAGCAGGCTACAAAGGAGACTACTAAACAGACACTCTAAATCAAAACAATTCCGCGTGTGACACTTGTGTTCTGCCATATTAACATACTTGTAACCGCACTAAAACGCATGGAGAGCGTCTAGTTACGTTTTATGATCATAAGTGGAGCTTTTGCTCTTCAGATTTCCAAGAACTAGTATCACTACAGAAGAGGAAGTATCCGGAATTTGAAAGTATACAAAATAGATTCAAGCTTGGACCACAGACATCCAATATATACAATATATGTTAATATATAACAATTTTTACCACACTTGAATTATGTAAATTCTCGCGCCCTGATTGGTTGATTATAGAGTGTACACTGTGCTGACACCATCACGTCAAAGAAAAGAATTATTTTCTAATTTTTAGACCTAAAATGTGGTAAAAAAAATTCGCACGGTTTTTCGTTGTATGCCCTCTTATTGACACACTCTTGACGCCATAAAATGTTCAAAACTTTGCAGTGAACCCACTCGTTGAGCTCGTGAGTCTACTTGAGGTTGGAACGGAGTGTGTCAATAAGAGGACACACAACTCAAAATCGTGCGCAATTTGTTAAATATCAAGAATATCAAAAGAATAGAATTTTGTGTCTCATAAGGATCAGTATTCTGGAACTATCAGACACCAAAAGTACTCTTCTGCAGGCACTCATAAACTTATAGTACGTTAGGGAATAATCTATCAATGGACAAATCACAATCATTGGCATATTCTTGTGTAGCTGTGTATAGTTATAAAATGTCGGGATTCCTGTGTGACAGTTGTTTTAACTGATTTTGAAAAAGTCCTTAACTGTTCAGAAATTATAGGTAGGAAGTTGATTAAGTTTTTTAAAAAAGCGGTTTTTGGACCAAATTCTTTTTGATTGGTTTTGGATCAATTATGTTGTGAACTATTACACAATAAACAATAAAAAAAAATTAAAAAAAACAGTGAAATAAGATTATTATATTCATAGTCTAAAATATAAATATAAAATAAGACATATGTAAAACGTACTAAAAGGGAAATTTATACACAGAAATAAGTTACTTGTAACTAAGCATTTTTTCTTAGAGCTTAAGCTTACCTCTCACCAGTTTCTCTTTTTAAAACATTGCGTAAAATGCAATCAAAAGTTCACCTAATTCCTCTCTTGGTATTTCTTCCAAGCAGTTAACTTCTCTCTTTGAAATATAGCTTTCTTTGCCACACATTTTGTGTTGTCCGAGTTTCCCTTTTCGTGCGCGACCCGCCATTTCCCGCCAAAATGAATTTAGCTATGGCACGTGACCCTAAAACGTCAAATGAGCTTTATGCACGACGCCTCGTCTTGGTTCCGTTCGTTGTGTGCGACTAGACCTATTTTGTGTTGTGGTATAAACCTGATCAGTATCAGGCTGTCGAAGGCCTGATACTCAGGTTACTACTGTGGAGACAAAATTCGCAAGTCGGCTATTAACAGAGCGATAAAAACAGAAAAGCAATTTTATTTACTATAGATAGCGATATGCAATAATTAAAAAAATAGGTTATCTATCAAATTTGACATGTCGAAACTAGTTGATCGCTTCGCGATTCGTGCGATATCGAAAACTGGGAACGATCTGACTTCTACTGTTGTCTAGTGCAAAATCAACACTAGTAATATTTGGTTAAGTACAGCTAATTTACACAAAAATTTGTGCAAAAATTTTGCTGAATCATATATGCAAATTCCTTTGTTTTCTATTGTCTGAATCCACGACAAAATCATATTCCAATTACATTATTTCTGTACAAATACATTTTTTAAGAATGTTTTAATAAAATGGTGAAATGATTTATTCACCAAACATGCCTCATAAAAAAGATCTACAGTAGACGATCTCCTTTTCGACTGTAACGCAGTCGGTCGCCGGTGGCTGAAAACGTGATGTAACATCATCCCGCCACGTGAGGAGCTCAACCAACCAATCACCATCGCTGATTTCGGACACAACAAATTGGAAATATACTGCGCAACTTTCGAAAACAAAGTTCAGTTTATGGTGGACTGTAGTTAATACAAGAGTGCGAAAAAAATATCAAGGAGGAGCGTTCACTTTCGAGTGGCGATTCCAGGCTATCGCCATGAGTTTGTGTAAACCGTCAAACAAAGATTATATGGACATAGATGAATTCTTGTCCTCTCGAGATTTGTGCGGAGATCTGGCCACGCTTACAGAGGCTGATGTCGATTTTACCAACCTCACCGATCCAGTTGATTTTTCCCTATCAGCCGAACAGCTACATGAATATACAGCTAACCAGTTAGACATAGAGGAGCAGGTCGAGTCCGTAGCTTCTCCAGTTAGCAGCGACGAGGGGCGAGGAAAGAGCATCTCGTCCGACACCGGTTCCAGTTTCTCTTTCTCCGAAAGGAGCATTGATGGTGAATTCCCCCAGACCAGGAGTCGAAAGAGTTGCGATAAAAGCGTAACATCTGAGTCAGAGGATAGCTCAAAAGCCAGGACATCAACGTGGAAAGTGTCATCATGTCCTGAGAAACAGTGTCTTGCCACATCAGTAGAGATTGAGGGAGTCGCATACACATATAACCTGATACCAACATCGAAATCGCGTAAACCAAGACGAAGGTCAGTACCTGGGAGTATGAAAGATGAAAAATATTGGGATAGACGATCGAAAAATAACGAAGCTGCAAAGCGTTCACGAGATTTGCGAAGGAAGAAAGAAATGTTGGTCGCTTCGAAAGCTGCCGACCTCGAGATGGAGAACGAGGAACTAAGAGCCGAGGTCCAATTTTTGAAAGAGAGAGTTAAAGTTTTGAACAAAAGACTTCAGGAAAAGACAACATAGAATAAAATGAACAGGTTAGAAAACTTTATGAGGTGGATATAAATCGTTCGATTCACTAATAAACAAAATGCAAATTTCTATCAACTCACGTGTACATATGTATCCGCACGTGCCCGTGCTGTTGATCGTTCGATTGCACGTGCACGTGCCATGGCACGGGACTTTGTAAACAAGCGCCGTGCATGAAATTGTAGCGATTGAGAGAATTTCGTCGGTCGAGGCAAAATAGTACGAAAGAAAGAAAATATGACTGTAAAAGCTCACGAATTTCTTACATATCTGCCTCTTTGAGTATGAACTATTAAAAAATCGAAAGAGGTGGTGAAATTCTACACAGAAATCAATGACAGAATAAAAATACTTTCTCAATATTTTCTCTTAATCACCCCAGCCAGAAAAAAAAGATTTATATGTTGATTTCTGTATGTACATTTTCAATGGATTCAAAATCACTTTATAATTCTTGTAGAATTTATTTTCTGTTTAGTTTTCATTTTTCTACACGATGGTCAAGAGCAAAAGAGTTGAAAAATGTTTAAATAAAAAAAGCGTAGAAACAAGGGAAAAAGTTCTGGGACCAGGGTAATTTTTCTATAAAAACTCATAATGAAAACTCAACTTCTGCATTTTCTTATCCATTCACTTTTAAATGTCTCACTCTGAAATTGTCCCAATTGCCTCATTATTTTTTGCATTAAAAAATGTCAGTTTTGATTTCATTCAGATGCAGAGTGGAAGTCCTGATAAAATGAATTAATGAGAACATTAACTCTGCTTATACCTGAAGTGCAAACCAGCTGATTGTGATATTAATTCTTCGTTGTTGAAGTGAATTCTACTGTAAAATAATGCATAATGACAGTACAGTACTGTACAGGTTATTACACATTCTAAAACCATGCAACACCAAATTGTTAATGTCTGAAACTATTGAATTATTATCTAGGATTTTGTAGTAATGTATATAATTGAAACATGCACAGTTAGTTCATTGTCTTCTCTTGCAAGATGGTTGTCATAACAGAGAGTGATTAGAGCATGAATTTTGGGAAAGCAATTTGCTATTGAGATGTTAGAGAGTCAGCTTGAGGGATCTTCTTTTTCCATTCTCTCTTCATTATGACAATGTTCTTGCAAGAAGATGTAGTTTAGATGTGGAGAGAAAAGAAAAATTGCATCATTCAAAACACTACCAAACATTGTATGGGCAAGAGGCAAGTTCTTCAGCCAAATGGCTTTGAACTTCATACATTAAATAAAAGAGCAAATATAAAGTTCAATGGCATTCATGTAGGCAGTTGAACTCAAACCTATTAACACTGATGTTCCATACATGATGCATGGCAGTCTGAAAGTTTTTGTCAATGTTGGTTGGTGTTGGATGATCCATTAGAGAGGTTTAGCATGACATTCACGGCAAACGCCAAACGGCAGAAAAGATCATGTGACCTGCTTTTTATGAGTTTAACGTTGCAGTTTCAACGCGAGGGCGGGTTATTTTGAGTTTACCATAATAGTGAAAAGCCGCTCTTTCAAATGACTACCAAAAGCACAAGGTCAGGCACGAAATTCTTAGGTCATTGGTTCAGCTCTGCCGTTAGCCGTTTGCCGTCAACGTGATGCTAAAACTCTCTATTATTTCTCATCGGTCTGGGAATTTAATTTGTGTAATTATGATGTAAATATGAATATTGAGTCTAATAAAGGTCTGACTTCACAAAGTAAATTGCTTTATTTTTCTTGTTCTGGCATTGAAAGGGTAACTGGGTTTCCTACTGAAATCTTTTCAAATGACTTACTGGAAAATTAGGCCACATGAAAGGTTTGATTAATAAAGGACAAGTAATCTGAATTAACCAAAAAGAAAAAAAACATTGGTATTATAATGAGCCAAACACATCCATCTGATCTACATAGCAAAGGTTCTCATTTTTTTTTTTATTCGTTGACTTCAGGGGCGAATGTTTTTTGCAGGAATGTTTTTTTGGCCCTTCGGGATGTGCAGAAATTTTTTTTTTTCAAAATCTTCCATCCCCCCTCAAAAGTGTAATGGATCACTCAATCAATCATGAGTGAGCATCCACTCAAAAAAGGGTTTAATAAAGCTTGTAAGCCTTCAAGGCTTGCACTAGACTGTCAGCCAAAAGTTTAACTTGAGAAAATTTAAGCCAGAATGTTATATTCCTCACAATATCAATCCTGGTTATGAATTTAATTAACACTCTATGAAAGTAAAATTAAAGTGAATACAAATACATGTTCCCATTATTACTTATAAGCATTTTATATTAAAAAAAAAACAACAAAATATAAGCATAAAGCACTGATGAAATAACCCTTTTCTTCCAAATATTACTAAAACAATACTATCATTTGGTACTAGAAAAGTGTTTCATCATTTTATAATAATTATTATAACTTTTTCTTGAGCACCTAGTGTGTTGCTCCATAATTTGTACATAAATATATACTAAAAAATATTATTAATAAAATCGCTTGCAGTCACTGAATTACATGAATTATAAGTTAAGGCAAAAATCATTTATTTCACAACTTCTTTTTAAAGTTTGTTTGGATTTTGATCTAAGGGACAATGCTTTTCACAAACTTGTTCAGTCATTCCAGTGATTTCTTATGAACATTGAAGTTGCGATGCAACGGTTTCCGCTTATAAAATACAAATTTAATATATATGGTAAATATAAGAATCTATCAATTATTAATTTATTAATTTCTATTTCAGAGTATGGGGCAATGTAATTATTGTGAGTCTTAATTTTGCCAATAAGCCAGCTCAACTAACAGCAGGGTTTGTGATACATTTTCACTACAAAATCCCAGGACTTTTCAAGTAATGCAAATTTTCAAGGTTTTTGAAGATATTTTTTGAAGTTTGCGAGCGTTTCCAGTGGTGATTTTCAAAAAATAGCCACATTTCAATCCAGAAGCTAGCAAGTCAATTTCATTAGATTCAAAGAGTTTTCCAGGATTTTAAGCAATTTTCCCTATTTTCAAGGGCTTTTCAAGCACCCTTGAAGACGAGTTTTCATTTCCAGGACTTTTCATCAAGGACTAGCGCAAACCCTGTAACAGCCTCTATGGCAATGCCATAGACCCAGAGGCTGTTAGTTGACCTGGCTTATTTTAGTATCTTTTTGTTATGCAGCCAATTTAGAAATATTTACTTTAATTAGTGGTCAAAGCCCATTATGCAGTCATCTTAAATCCTGTCATATTTAAGACTCGTAACTTACTGCCTTTTCTGTATGGCTTAGTGCCTTATTTTTATTATGAAAATTCTGTCTGATAGTTTTAAAATATTAATTACCCTTAACAGTGACCCAGTCAAATATCTCAACAATCCGTGAAAATGTTAAAACAAAAACATCTCCATACAGGAGGAGTGCAGTAAATTACTCACAAATTTGTCAAAGTTTTGTAATACTAGTACTGTTTGGTATAGCAACAACACATGCCCCTGCACGTCCTGCATTTAGTGGAGCAACCTCCTCCCATTCATTAGTTATAGGATCATATGCCTCTACTGCATTTAAATACTTAGAACCATTATAGCCACCAATCGCATATAGTTTGTCACCTAGACAACAGACACCTACAGCATCTCTGCAATTTATCATGGAGCCGACAACAGTCCACTGGTCTGTTTTGGGATCATAACGTTCTACAGATTCAAACTGTCGGCATGAGTCTTGGCTTGCAGGAGTGTCATGTCCTCCCATGGCATATAAAAAGTTACCAAGTACAGTGACACCAACACCTGAAAGTAAAGTTTGTTAATATTTAGGTTGTTTTTGAAACACTTTTACACTTGATAACAAAAAACTTCTGATTCTCTGTGAGTTGATTCTATATAAAATAAAATTAATTGAATGGTAAAATATTCCTGCATTTCAGTGTCGAGTCTTTGAGTTATGAAGGTTCAATCTTACAATATGTTAATGAAAATGACGTCAAAGAAGGCTTCATTAGATATACGAACTTCAAAGGAGTCACTGTTTCATGGCATTAAATTTATTGTATGCAATGTAGGGAATAACCATATTCCCTGATGGTGTTTATGAAAACATTTTTGAGCGTCCCTTGACGTCATTATCATTAGCATATTGGAAGATTAAACCTTTAAAACTCAAAGACTCGACACTGAAATGCAGGAATATTTTACCATTCAATTAATTTTATTTTATATAGAATCAACTCACAGAGAATCAGAAGTTTTTTGGCAGGCGTTACAGGCACTTTAAATGTATAATAAATGGTAACGATCTTGATATTTATATTCTTGTCAGTTATTTCAAGGAAAGATGAGAAACCAAGAATGATCAACTTTACTGTTAATACTTGATAACTGTAAATGAAAAACTGAAAACTGAAAAAAAAGAAACAGCAGGAAGATTAAGGTGAGGAATTAAATCAAGTGCAAAAAGATTTAAACAACTTTTACCTCCCCTCCTCTTTAACATTGGAGAAACTAAAGTCCATCTGTTTGTGTTAGGGTCATAGCATTCCACTGAATTCAAGCATGATGATCCATCTCTTCCTCCAACGGCATACAGTTTGCCATCTAAAACAGCCACACCAACAGTGGATCTTGRGGTACTCATTGGAGCAACAAAGCTCCACTGCTTTGTGATTTGATCATATCTAGACAAGTCATTCAAACACTGGTTACAATCATTTTGCTCATCAAGGTCCCCCCCCCCCCCCCCCCCCCCCCCCCCCCCCCTCCCTCCCCTGGGTTAAGGTCATGTATTGTTTTGATTCACAGAGCCATTTCAATAAACAACTCTCATTTCAATAATATTCTCTAATGATAAATTATTATACATTGTTTGAAAGCTCTTTTGCAATGAAAATGTTTTGATTCTTTTAAATGAAACTGACCATAGCACTTCCTAAAAAATAGTATAAACATGCTGCTAAACTGACATAAACTTAAATGGTTTTGAACTGGACCAGCTCCATATAATCATAGCCTTGACACTTACCTTTCAACAGTACTGAGATACGACCAGCCATCATGGCCCCCAACAGCATACAGTGGACCATTCAAAATTGCCACACCTAGACCATGTCGATGGGTATTCATAGATGTAACTGATGTATATTGAGCTGTTTCAGGATCATAACTTTCTACTGTATTAAGTGTTTTAAGTCCATCTCTTCCACCTACAATATATAGATTACCATCCAATACAGCTAATCCAAACTGTAAACGTCTCGAAGCCATAGGTCCAACAAGTGACCAGTGATTATTTCGGACATCATATTCCTCTATGTTGATGGCTCCCTTTGAAGAATCCATACCTGTCAACAAGAAAAATCCATAACTGTATATAATATACAATATTTTTCATTTTAATCAATTTTGTTTGTCACGTCATATTGTATGAATTACTTGATTCACCAGTCATCCAACAATGTTGCGGTCCATATAAATACTCAGATTTTATATTATAAAGATTCAAGTACATTTTTTGGCAATTGCAAAATATTATGTAATTATTGGCTGAGTAAGAGGACACAAATCAGAAGAGACTAAATCTTTTCATTTTAAGGGCAAACCAAACACAATCTTTATTTAAAGATCCTTATGCTAAAAATACTTTTTTTTAATTTTCGTAGCTATTAAATGGAAAAAATGAAAACAATGGCCACTTATAGCTAGCCCTCCCCTTCCCTCCCCCAGACACCTTTAATGCCTTTTCTTTCCTTTCTCTATGTGAACACCAATGTGGAAATAGTATACTACAGGGTTGCCACAGATGTCAAAGGCACAGAAATCAACCCCATCTAAATTTTCCTCCATGTCCTACCCCTTCCCCTCTGGCCGAGTTTTTATCTTATCCTAAGAAATGCAATAAAAGGGAAAAGTGAAAAACGCCAGAAAACTAGAAGTGAAGGAGAACACATCCCCCATTGGCCCAATGATCTGTCATGTCAATACAGGCAACAGGTCAGACTGCAAGGATTTGTAAGCCAGGTTTTTAATATTACTCGCCTGGGCAGATATGGGACATAAGTGATGACAGATAATTTATGCAACAATTAATGTTATCTGTTTGGACCTACACCCCCTGGTCCTAAAACTGATCATTCTCATTCCCATGCAATTTATTGTGTTTTATAATTTGTAAAACTTACCACCCACTGCAAATAACCTCCCTACAGTAGAATATCTAGGTTTTGTTCTAGGTGAAAGTGCTTGAAGTCGTCTCTCTGGCAAAAGCTGATATTTCATGGCCTCTATGATCAGTTCTCTGCATGGTGCAAGGTCACGAAAAAGTGGACAAGGTTCAACTTGGTCTAGAAGGTATTGTGTTGACAGCAATGGAAGGCGTACGTGAGAGAGAAGGTCTGAGAGATGTTTTTTTCTGTTTTCATAATCGTGTTTAGTCCATGAAGTTAGAGCTGTAAATACTTGAGTTTCAGAAGAAACGTTAAGATCGTCGCTAGATAAAAGCTCTGCCACACTTTCTGCAGCTAATACAACAAATTCTTGATTTTTTACAACATCAACGAAGTGATCTTTTGTGTACTTATCGCTTCGCTTGAATAGTTCCACACATCCATGCCCATCTGCAAATGCACGAATTCCCAAACAGTTAGAGGGGTGAAGCTGATGGCACATGAATTCAGAACAGGCTTGCTTCACCTCATCAACCTGAAGTATACAAGAAGCCGACAGCAAATTCTCAACATTGTCAACACGTATTTCGATCTCTGCTGTATAGGCATACTTTATCAAAGCTTCCACAGCCAAAGGATTTAAATCTGTTAAATTTACTGTATATTGCGTTGTTTCTGACATATCTCCCGTAAACATAGCACTGAAATAGTCACTAAAAGCTGCTAATATAAGGCGATGTGCTTTGATTTTCTTGTCGCCAACTACAAGTTTGATGTCGCAAAGAACAGAATTTTCTTTGAATGCTTGAAACCGACGAAAGGTTTTTGCTAGATGTTCGTCGCTTCGAAATGTTACGCAGTCGTCGTCCTCCTCCATATCTTTCCCTTTCAATCCAAAAATGTTGAGTATAAATCTTCTAATTATTAAGTGCTCTTTTTCTTCATTAAAGACTTTCATATGTTTTTTGTCAAAATATTTTGCACTGCCCAGACTCTCCTCCGTTAACGTAAACTTGCCACAGGAACTCCAAATAACACAAAATGATTATTATAATTTTTGTAGATTTTGGCTCAAAATGTATGAAGACTTGCTTCTTAAAATATTGTCTTGAATAAAAGATTATATATCAAAACCTAAAATAAATAAAAAAATAAAAAATTTGCGAGTGAAACTGTTTTTGTATAGAGGTTTGGCCTGCAACGTCACAGGCCAGCGGTAACCATTTTAGTAAAAATATTTCAACAAGTGAAGAATGTTATCAACTAAACTATTGATTTTTCGACGTTCGTGTTATGCTACCAAAAGATCATCATTACCATATCATTTTCAAAGATGGTACTATGCTCAAACAGCTTCTAAAATCCCAGATCAAGATCCAAAAGTGCTGCAAATATACGAAGGAATTACCAAAGGTCACAGGGGATCTCTTGCACAGGGAATAACACTAGTTGAAACATTACACCCGGAAAAATATAAACAAGCTCAAAAGCTATTATCAAAGGCTGTCAGATTTTCAAAAAGAGAATTGACGTTTTCTTCAGGGCAGAAGAGTTCCTTTAGGGTCGGTTTCTCAGGGCCACCAGGAGCAGGGAAATCCTCATTCATTGAGGTTTTTGGCAAGCTTCTTACAACACAGGGGCACAAAGTTGCTGTTCTTGCAGTTGATCCATCGTCTTCACGGACTGGTGGATCATTACTGGGAGACAAGACACGTATGACAGAGTTGTCACGTGATCCTAATGCTTACATTAGGCCTTCGCCGACATCAGGAACATTGGGTAAGAATCACATCAACCATTGCGTGATAGTTTAAGTAAGTTATTCAAAACTATAGACCAGCAATATGTAGGTGATGCATCGTAGAACTACAACCCAAGTGACTGACATGAGACATGATCCCTTTCATCTCATCCCTTCATCTAATTCCTTTGAACATTGTTCATTTATCATAACTAATAATCCATCTCATCTACTTCAAAAACCATAAGTCATATAAAAATTAAAAATCTACAACTATTATTTGTAATGCAGTGGTCACATGACCTCCAATAGATAATGTGCCAGTATTGTATGTTTTATATAGGTGGTGTAACAAGAAGCACCAATGAAGCCATAGTCCTGTGCGAAGCTGCAGGATATGATGTCATTATAGTAGAGACGGTTGGTGTTGGACAGTCAGAGTATGCCGTGGCACACATGGTTGACATGTTTGTATTAATAATCCCACCAGCAGGAGGAGATGAGCTTCAAGGAATCAAGAAGGGAATTGTTGAAATGGCTGATTTAGTTCTTGTTAATAAAGCTGATGGTGAATTGTTGATTCCAGCTCAGAGAATACAAGCTGAATACATTAGTGCATTAAAACTTCTGAGAAAAAAATCTAAGTTATGGTCACCACCTGTAAGTACATAATTTTGATAATAAACTGTAAGCATTTCTGGTTTTCAAGAGATGTCATGACTGTCATATTTGGAAAAGAGAAAAGAAAGTATTCAATTTGAGTTAGCTTCATATTACCTTTTCACAAATATTTATTCAACCGTTTTAAGAGAAGACCCCTTCCTCACAACCATGAAAATTATGAAATTATTGTTGTATGTTTTTCTCTTGCATTAGACTACAAATTGTCTTTGCTCTATGACATCCTTGCAGTGAGTAAGATGTAAATTTATTTTTTGACTTTTATTTTTTGAATATTAGGTTCTTAGAGTTTCGGCACAAACAGGTGATGGCATTCCGAAGACCTGGGATGTCATGCAAGATTTCTTTGAAAAGATGTCAGCCGTTGATGAACTAGAACTGTTGAGACGGAAGCAACACATAATTTGGATGTGGAATCACATCAAAGAACACATCATGATGAGATTTAAGATGAATCCTGACGTTAAGAAGAAGATTAAAAGTTATGAAAGTCTAGTTGGAGAAGGGCTAATGACGCCAGGTCTAGCTGCTGACATGCTGCTGAAAATCTTTGAGAGATCTTCAGAAAATGGAAAGCAAACAGACAATTGATATTATATTCTTTTAGTTATAAGCTAGTTGTAAATATATATGAACATAAATTATGAATTAAAATTGTGTGTTTTTTGTGTGTTGATCTTATCTTTTTTTTATTATTATTATTTTGTTTTATTTATATATATCTTTTTTATAACCTGTGTCATGATAGGTGGTCCAAATGATTAAAAGATGAGTACCTGGGGAATACTTCTGCATGGAGTACTTTGAATTTTTATGAATATGAATAATATTTCAAGCACTTATAAGATAAAAATCCAAAGTAACTAAATTAGCTTCAGTGGAAGATCATCATTGGGAATAATAATAAGTACTGATGAAAATACTGCTTTATAGTTTTTTTTTATTTGTGTGTAATTTTTGTCTTGTTTAAAATTCCTCAAACTTTCGAGAAGAAAAAAAAAAACATTATTCTCCACCCCCCTTGTAATATAAAGAATGCAGTCCCACATTGCGTATACTTCCAGCGGTTTCAGCCCACAAGCTCAAGTGCCAAACATTTTTGAAGTTCTTACGGATGACTACCCACCCATGAAATCATGAAAACCTGTCCTTTTTAGCTGAAAAATGGCGTTTACCTCAAGCTGTTGTTTCAACAGCTAGTTTACTTGGCTATAGACCGAAGATAAGCCTAATTCCACAACATGGAAGATATTTTTTCTGCTTCGCGTGACGGCAACACAAGATTTGTGAAAACATGGCTGGAGGATACGAGAAACGACTTGAATCTCGGGTAAGTTGAACAAGTTATCACTCTTGTCTTTCAACTAGCGCTTGAAGTCATCAGACCAAAACCATTTTGATTCAATGTACTATTTCCACAGCGCTATCAGTGGTCTACTGGTCACTCTCTTCAATAACAAATAGTGTTCGAGCATGCACGGGTGAATTTGTAAATAACAATTGTCGTAAGCTAATGTTCATTTGATTTCTGTTCATGTTATTTCAGGGATGATCATGGTTTTACGCCGTTTTTGTGGGCTTGTCGAGAAGGACAAGTCGCTATTTTTGACATGTTATTGTCTCGTGGAGCAAGAGTTAACGCTGTAAACGATGGTGGCGATAATGGACTGCACTTGGCAGCCAGCAAGGGAAACAAAGAAGTTGTCCTCAAGGTTTGTTTTCATCGTGATAGTTATTTTATGCTTGTCTTGTCGATTATAGTAAACACCTGGTTCAACATTTTGGAGAGTTAGCTAATGTTTGTGTTTGTTGTTAGTGGTATTGTCTGGCTTTCAACATCTTATAGACTCATATAAACTTAAGTCTTAATATATAGGGTTTCATTTTTACTTCTTCATAATAATGTATTTGTTTTTGAAGTAATTGTTATCTAATGACCCGCCTGCATGATTCACTTCCTGAATGTTATGAGTATTTGCCTGGGTGTGTGTTTATGGCCATGAAAAACTAGTTGTAACCTGACCTTTATATAAGCTTAGCTGCTAATCTTTCTATCTAGCTTACTTACAGTGCAATAATATTTCATATGAAGATATAAGAATGTAAATATTCCACTCGTCCATTTATGCACAATCTATTCATTCATTTTTACTCCTTTTTACTAACAATGGCAGTAATTCTACAAAAAGCATGTCTGTTATTACATGTCATTGTGAATTTGAAATTCAATTTTTATTTTATGCAGTAAAATATATGGCTGCTGCTGAAACTAAATTATTGTCATTAGCTTATCAAATTGCAGTCTTGAGCTCAATTGCTAAAGGTTTTGGAATAAGCCAATCCCATAGATCAAACATGAGTGTGGGGATGCTACTATCTGATTGAATAACAGTGTTGCTAGTTCTACCACTCTTGATTTTAATGCTGTTATCTGATTAGTCAGGGTTTAATTAACTCAAAACTGGCCCCAGTTTCAGCAGCTACAATGCGAAAGTTGATTAGAAAATATTTTGCCATATCAAATATACTTTCTTTTATGATATCCAAAGTTTACAACTGTAAATTGGGTCAAGTATTCATTGCATGTCCTTCTGCCTTAACAAGAATTACATTTTTCATCAGCTTCTTCGAAATAAATGTGCAGTTAACGGCATCAATGAACATGGTAATACTCCATTACACTATGCATGTTTCTGGAATTATGAAAGTGTTGCAGAGGTAAGGAATGATTGGTTTGACATGTACGTCATGGGAAAAGGTACTAGATCATAGATTTACTTCTAATTATATAAATGCTTTAGGAGCTTGTCAAGAAGGGTGCTTATGTGTCTCAGTGTAACAGATTTGGAGAAACTCCACTTGATAAGAGTAAACCTTACTTAGCTGAGATCTTGAAAGGTATCAAAACTGTCTACTATAAACCCTTTATTTTACACGAATAGTAAACGAATAAAAGTACGTAGCAATAGCTTTAAAGTTGACATATATATTGATGTATTCTAGATCTTGCTACACAACTTGGACAGAATCTTAAGAAAATCCCCTATAAAGGTAGCTATTGTCTCACTTGGTATTGATTAGTTAATTTGATACTGATTTGATACGTATTGTATGTAAATAGCCTAGCACTTAGCCTTTTGTTCTATACCATGTATATATATCTAGATTATAGGAATGTTTATCATTAAATACTGTCTGATGAGTGCGTAGAACGAAACTCGGAGTTACAGCAAAATCTTGCCTCTTTGATATCATATATATAATTTGATACTGACAAATATTACTATTCATCTCACAGATTCTTCCAACAAAGGAGGCAGAAGAATTGGTTAGTGCTATCAAAAAGACAAATATTAAAAGCTAAATATATGTAGTGTGCTAAACTAAAAAACATTGTCCCAGCTACAGATTTGCATAAATTTTGTCATGTTATAGTTACAATGTTTCTGAGGTCGCTTCCATTGTTTTAATTACACACCAGGAAAGTATGTCAGCTCTTTAGCATACAAACTAGTGACACATGAGATCATTGGCTTATTAATCCGCAGTCACTAAAGAAAAGATTTGATAACAAGCTACCATACAGACACAGTAAATCCAATTATCTTTTGTTTAGATTTAAGAGACATAAAGGATAGATATGAATGGATTTCACCAGATGAAATAACACTCACAGAGAAAATAAGTAAAACAGTAACTGGTGAGGTAAATATACACAGATTGAAAACAAATCATATTGTATTTAGACAAACGTTAATTCCTATAGCAACTGGACATCTTGTATTCTTGGGATACTAGACACTTCTCTCACTCTCTCACTCTCTTCTTGATCATGTGTATTAATGGAAGTTATGTTCTAGTAACCCTATTTTTTCAGCTTGGAAAATAATAATAATAATAATAATAATAATAATAATAATTCACTTAATGTACTTTTTTTCTTGTTTGTGTGTTTCGGTTTTTCATTAGGTTTGGAGAGGCAAGTGGAACGATATTAACATTGTTGCCAAAAAACTAGCAATAAAATTTGTCAATAAACGTATTTCTAGAAACTTCAGTGAAGAGTATTCTAAGTTGAGGTAATTGAGAATGTGTCCTTACTGTTTTTAAAACATTATCCAATTTTCAATCGTTTTTCACTCCTATCTCATTTTGTCACCCTATTTGGTACTAACAGTCAATTTTATTGTATGTTTTTTTCTCTTCGTTATAGAATTTTCTCACATCCAAATGTTCTGCCAGTAATAGGAGCTGTTAACGATCATAAGAACCTGATAGTGTTATCCCAACAAATGCACTATGGGTCACTGTTTAACATTCTTCACGAAGGAACTGGTATCATTGTAGATCAAGAACAAGCCATCAAGTTTGCTATGGATATCGCAAGGGGAATGGCATATTTACACTCTCTAGATCAACTCATTCCCAGACTTTACCTGAAAAGTACACATGTCATGGTAAGGATTTATGATAAGTAATCATGGGACGTGGTCAGAATTTTAGCTGATGATGATTATATTAAGTAATGATAATGATGATGATGATGATGATGATGATAATGATGGCAATGATAGTGATATTGATCAAGTTTCAATTATACAAATGTACGCACATACTTAATTAGTTATTTTTAATTGATAATACTTAAACATACTATTGCTTGATAAATGTTAAAATGGATAAATGGTTTTTTGTGATGATGATAATAATAGTGAGTATCTGACTCATCCATCCAGTGTTTTTCTTTTCCCAACTCCCCTCACAAAGCATGCTGGGATGTCAACACAGGGAGACCAATGCATAATGATGTTATTTCATCTTGTAGATAGATGAAGACCTAACAGCAAGAATCAGTATGGCTGACTATAGATTTTCCTTCATGAATCTCAGTAAATATGAGTCTCCAAACTGGATGGCTCCAGAATGTAAGTAAAAAAGAATGAGAAAGAATGAACATTTGTAAGCTTAAAGATGCTTTAATCAGTCAAACTTGAGCTTTACCAGATGTCTTTCTGCTCAATTATCTGCGCTTTAGTTCATCTTTGAATGACAACTAACACAAGAAATATGAAAAGTGACTAAGTTGTCAATATTCAAGTTCAGGCCTTTATGATAATTTTATTGTTATTCATTGTCATCAATGTGGACGTAACCCAGACCAGAGTGTGGTATATATCCTCAATTGCATTTATACTAGCATCAACTCCATAAGCAATATTATTATCCCATAAGGGGAATACATTTAGATATTGATATCGACTTTGGATAGTAAACAACAGTTTGATGATTATTCTGTCCTGTTTTCCATGTAGTTCTTCAAAAAAGCCCTGAAGAAGTTGACCAGAGGTCAGCAGACATGTGGAGTTATGCTATCCTGTTATGGGAGTTGGTGACAAGAGAGGTTCCATTTGCAGATCTTTCTCCAATGGAGATTGGCATGAAGGTAATGCTGTAATGCTGAAACCTGTTCATGACGTAGAATAGTCTTCTTCACAGTTCCCTGCGCCATCTTGAAATGTAGCTGAGCCTTTCCATCGAAGCGAGACGACTGTTGAGGTGCAATAATAGAAACCTTCTTTCACACCTATAGAAAATTATTTATGGGTAACTTATCTATCATTGCAAGATAAACAGTTGTCTTGCTTCGATGTAGGCATAGCTACCTTTCGAGATGGGGCTGGGATCCATGAAGGAGACTATTGTATGCAAATCTGATGCAAACCAATGAAAACAAATTATTGATGTAAAAATACAATGTCAATTACCTGGTTTTTATGAATTCTGAGTAAGTTTTATGGATGAATAAACTTTTTTTTTAGATATGGGTCAGGTTGCATCAGGTGCATACGCTCCTGTTATCAACAGGGACCCTTATTGCAGTAAAGCATCATGACATATTGTCTATATTTATACTAATAGTATACAACATTTCAGGTTGCTTTGGAAGGATTAAAGCCTCCCATCCCACCAGGTGTGTCATCTCACATGGTCAAGTTAGTCAGTATCTGCTGGAATCCTGACCCCAGCAAGAGGCCCAGATTTGATCAAATTATTCCTATTCTGACAAAAATGTCTTTGTAGAAATATATTTTATTATAGATCTCTATTTTTGTAAGTTAATAATATTGTGCATGTTTTTAGTTATTTGATGAATCATACAAATATATTGACTCTATTGATTTGATGTCTTCAAGTGAAATGAAATAATGACCTTTTTAACAGTATCAATCTATGTTGAACATTACATGCGCTGTTTCTAGATATAAGAGAGTCTAGTCCTAGTTTTTTTAAGAAGATTAGTCAATAATTAATTCTTATAAATAATAATATTACAGCAATACTTTATAAGTCGTCAGTACTCCATGGACAATATTATTTTGTTCAGGACAGATGTTCAAGGGTTGAATAAATATTTTGATAATGGAGCGTTTGTGCCCTAGACTATATTCTATCATGGATTAAATCATAAATCATAATCACATTTAGTAAATATTAGCATATGTGATGGATGTTATATTCATTTGTAGTTAACATTCTTACTTGTTTGCGAAATTTGCAAGAATTGTAATTTGTTTTGTTAGTTTTCTAAAGACTGGAAAGGTTGAGGGAAGAATGTGATGATGCCAATGATGGCAGCAATGATGATGATGAAATTTGCGCGCACGTCAAGTTGGGCGAGTTATTTCTTTGCGTAGCACATTAGACAATAAGGCGTGTTTAGTTTTAAAATTCCTTTATTCAATACGAATAAACCCTAAATTCAGCTTAACAACTTAAAAGACTCATTTCCCAATAAACTTGCTAGTCTAAACAATCAAAGAATAACACAAGCTTACATGCGTGTAGTAAACTTAAGCTTCCAGTGTATAGACTCACTAACATACAAGTACGATCAGTCCCTATAGACATTAAAATTCTCATCTCCTTAAATTTGCGTCAGGCCTATTGTGATTTGTCCTCCGGTGTGAGTTGAAATCGCTTGTGCAAATCCTCTCCTAATTCGCGACGACGACGACATTCGTTTCGACAATTATCGGCCGAATTTACGCACGACTTGCATCCTTCAAAGCCAACGCACGACGTGAAACACTTGTGAACTTCTGCATTACAAAAACTTGCACATTTCCATGCGTTCGTGTGAGGTAAGACAACACCCAGTACAAGTACAGCGGCTATTAACATAGAGACGTTCATCTGTTCAAAACAAATCGAGCGTTAATGGCTTGTTGTTTGTGCATTATCAGTGAAGTGGTTTAACTTTAAATCGGATTAAATAAAACCGATACATGACTTAAATCTGAAGTGAAGAAGTTAGTGCTTTAGAAAGATGGTTTGCTATTTGTCTTTTCCATTTCATGTTAATGGAGAGAAACAAATCCAGATTGCTTTCCAGAAGTGAAAACTAGCCATTATTAACCACAGTCTTAGCGGCTTCCCCGTTTTTGATCGGAAACTTTGTGATAATAAGATAAATTTTATATCATAGCAAGTGAGAAAACTTTATTAACCGCTTTAATACTATAGCGATACAATGCGATATATAATATTGTCTTTTTATTATATTATTATCATTATCTAACTTTACGGACGTTGATTCTTCGCAATAGTATTGAAGACTTGAGGTTCAACGTCCAGACGGTCAGTCATTCTTTTTTTTTTTTTGACTATGCATGATCATTTAAACTCAACTGTTTTAATATTTTTCTCTTTTTTATTTAGAAAGATACATACAAGTAGCGCGCCATTTGTATCTTTAATAGTTCATTTCCTTCGGCAGAAGATTGCACTGTAGATTCACATATTCTCCTATCTTACCAGTATTTCCACTCAAAATCCCGAATGAATTCAGAAGTTATGAATGATTTATTCATTTATAATTAATGACGTTATGTTAGCAGTATAAAGAATGCCACTATCAAATTGGAGAAAGAATACTAATGGAATATATTGGGATCTTGAGGAATTGTATTGACTATGTATTGACAATGTACTTTAATTATTTCATATTGTACTATGGTATACTATTTTTCTTTCAATGAAACCTGAAATATTGGAAACGTTTTTTCTTTATTGATTATTTTCTTATCCAAGAAAAGGTTTGAACATCGATGATTTAATGACCAAGGACTGAACACGCCCGCTTTTTTCGATATACCGCTTCATTTTAAACTCCGGAAATTTTGCTTTTAAGTGAGACTGCCCTAAGGTTTCAGTCCTCGCTCCTCGCATTTCTTGAAAAAGACCAAATTAAAGTTAAATAGAAAACTTTGACAAATCAAAAACGGCAACCCATGTAAGCAATGAAAATACTAATAAAAATCTGGTGTCAATCTGGTATTTTCCACTGAGAAAAAAGCATAATAACATAGCGAGAAAAGAATAAAGTTGGACTGTAATTGTCAATTATATCCCACCTTTCTACTTGTGAGTCTTAGCCTTTGGGTCTTGTTTCTGCCGGAATAAATGCCTCAACTCATATCAAACTCACATATTTATCGCTATTTTGAAGTGGTTTTCGTAATGACCTTCAAGTTATTTCATAGAAAATGCACCACAACCGCTTGACTTACACGCTCACGAGCCATAAGTAAGATAAGAGTTAAAGACACACATCAAAAATGACAGTATATCCGTTATCCCTTTTTCAGTCATCTTTTTCGAGTAATTACGACCTTTTTGCGTCAAGACTTAGATAGATTTGACTTTTGACTTTTTTTGAGCAATGACTCATTGTCTCAACAACAAAAAATGCACTGTCCTGATTAGTTAGCCGTAGCGAAAAAAACAAAAATCAAAACAAACAACTACAGCAACCAACAAACCCTGATAATTTCTATCTAAGGAAAGTGAATTGTATAAAATGATCACTGTTTATAAATAGTCTAAAGACTGATAATTTTGCGGAAAAAAAGACCGTTTTTTTGTCAACAGGAGACTTCGCTCGATCTGAATAATAGAGAAGTCCTTCGTTAGAAAAAGGGATGCGTACGTGATTTCTCCCGTTGGAAAGACTTATTTTTTCATCGATCTAAAACTACATTCTATGTATTGATAAATATGTTACATAGTGAAGCACAAGTACGAATGATTTTCGTGTGAAATGACTGCAACCTATCAACTGCGTAGAGTCTTCATAAAAAAGTTTGAGACCAGCTATGATTTATCGCTACCACTCAATCAATGTATCAATTATTTCGAGGATCTTGTTTACCCTAGTATTTTATGCATAAGAAAACGAAAAAATGAACACTTGAAATGAGCCGTTGAAATTACGACCAAGTTAGACCACCCTTTTATCTGTTTTTTGATTGATGTCTAAAGTATTCGTAAATATGGTAAGCCCTATTCAAAGGTTGCGACCAGCTAAAACTCGTTGAATCAATTGGTTTTAAATGGTCGCTACTGACAAATCTTACCCTGAAATGCACAATGTGACGGGGCTTACACTGCAAACTGAGACTGGCTGGTACCTCGGACAACTGGTGATTGTGTATTGAGTTGCATTTATATACTTAGTATGTCATTAATGGCATGACGCGATGTTTGCCCGTAATTGACAACTAGCTAGTGACCACACCAAACCGGTCTAGTTGGAATAGAATCTTCATTTTACTTTCTTGTCTTCGTTATAGAATCGATTTACAGGAAATAAAAACTCAGGGTTATTTTTTCATAGTCTATGCATTAAAAGACTTAAAATTGGTCATAAAATACATTCGCCAACTTTTACGTGTGATAAAGCTCAATTTGAAAACTATCAAGCAAGGACAATTGCCTTCCTGTAGTATTTTGTAGCTAAGAACATTATGCTATTTTCCGTGTGTTTAAGGGTTCTAAACACTACATAACACCTGGAACGGCTCTTCCTTCAAACTGCTTATGAATCATATCCCGGCCATATCCCATATTGACTGTATTGTTCTCGTTTCTGTTCTTGTTTTGATATTTATTTATTTATTTCATTTTGAGAATCGATATTGGTATTGGACTTCGGTATTCACGAGGACAAATATATTGTAAACATTTAAAACGAGTCATTTTGTCATATTCCTCTTCGCTTGGCTATAATTATTCCATAGCTTTTACTTCACTATTTTTCTTATAGTATATCACTGGAAAAGAATCGCGCGCTTAGGTTGTAAATTTGATGTAAATATGATGTAGGTGTCCAAAATTCTGTAAATTTAGTGGAAATCATTTACATCAAATTTACAGAATTTTGGACACTTAAATCATATTTACATCAAATTTACAACATTTAAAGCCCGCGATTTTTTCCAGTGTATGTACTTTTTATCTTATTGATATTTATTTCATTTATCCATTATTTTTTTCTTTTGACGTATAAATGTAAGCAATGATCAAAAACTGAAAAAAAATTTTTAAGAAAAAAATACTTAAGAGGTGGCACCGTGGAAACCCTTAGTTAAGGCAAAAACAGCAACATTTGGTATGAACACGTAATGATTACGAAACAAACGGTTGTTTCTTCACTAGGCAATCATCAGTTGTATTTGGCTTGATTCATATCCGCTCTCTCAGGAATTAACTAGAAAAAACTGAAGTTAAATATACTGACCTTATAGTCAGTTGCCTGTGCACGAACTATGCCTACACATGGGATTACTGAGTGGATTTCAATTGTTAAAACAACTTTGAAACGTTCTTGTTATCCTAAATACTATAATCACACTTCATTACCTGTTCATCCCACTCAAAAAACCAAAACTATTGTAAACAATACAAAATGTGAAGAATACTTTCCAATTTCCTCAAGATAACCACTTCCCTGCCTCACGATACTCAGTTCTCTACGCCGTTTTAAAGGTAGCACCGTGGCGCCATTGTATTGAACCGAAAAGAAACCGAAAGTGCACTTGCATACATTTTGCCCATATCTACGACCATCATTCATAAATATCTTCTATTGCAAGCTAGTATCTGTAGCAAGTGGTATCACTTCAATACAAAGGGCACTATTTCCTTTTGTGATCGCACATTAAGCTGCAATTGTGTCCAAAAAAGGTTACTTCTTCCGTAAACGAAGAAGCTAATAATATGGGTGGGTGGGTGTTAAACTATACTACGGCCTGTTACCAGTGTGTTGGTGGTCCTTATTCGCGGTTTTTGTCAGGCCTTACTTATTCTGCGAGACATCATCATAAAGCATCGATACTATGAAAAACTGTGTAATAAAACGACTAACGATAGTTTAAGTGCAAGCATAAGACTACGCTGGCGTTATGAAAGCGCTAAACAAATATATAACTAAGCGAGAGCGGTTTTTTGTTGTTGTTGTTGTCCTTTTTTCTATAGTCGTAAGTCATTAAAGCATTTCCCGCCTGTTATTTTCAAATATGGGCAACCACGGTCAACCATTCATTTTTATATCAATTTTTGATTTTCTGAGACAATTAAACTGCTGATTATGTATTTGTCAGTACCAATGCATGTTTTGTTAGCTCTGAAAGTCAGTCATTTTAACCATTGTCTTACATATTCTGACTGATGAGTTTTCGATGAAGTTCATCACAAATGACACCGAACACTCACCTTCCTAAACTATCAAACTCTATTATTTAACCGACAAATTTTCCCTGCTCTCATTTGTGACATTTGTGGAGAGTCGACCAGCTGGCGCGATCGTGCACGACTCAAAAAGGCACTAAAGAGAGCCCATCGCTTCAGAATATTTTGTTGCTGAATAATGGAATCAATAGAGCAGTTTAAATCTCAGGCATGATCGTGATAATTGCCCTTGGAAACTGGATGTTCCTCACAACTTCGTTTCCTTTTCGGGCAACTATTTTTTTTCCGGAACATCCAGTCAGTTAGCGGGCAACTGTCACAGCATAATATACCCTCAATTCAACTATACTCTATTGTTCAAATAGTCTTCAAAAACTTGAAACATTTCTTTATCATTTATTTAGTATTTGGCTGTTTCAGTTATGCGATTTTAGGCAACAATCATTTTTTTACATATGATCTCTTTAAAACAGCATTTTAGAGGTGCGACATAGTTTCTTATTTAAACCTCTTCTTTTTATTTTTACTTCAGTTAAAGGCCCAATTGATACCATGGGAAATTTCTAGCTCGTGCAGCTTTGATTTTGAAACCATGACGTCATAGCAGTTTGTTATTACGCATCTAAAAACAATATTAGTGCGTTTTACGCCAATGCGATCAAATGTTCACCAGTGCAATTTGAAACCTATGATATAAGCTAAAAAAATAAAATGAAATGGCCCAAAGGACGAAAAAACTGCTTTTGACTGGAAATTTTTTACCTACTCGTGTCCCCACGCCACAGCGACCAAGGACAATCGTACAAACAAACTTACGCACAATCATAGATAAACTATGATCTAGCTAGCACACAACTTAGACAAACGGCCAACTAGCCAATGCAACTAGCGGAGGGTAAACGGACACGGACATGCCGCAATCCTCGTCTTCGTTTGCAATATCCTTCGTTTTCAATATACTACATAGCGGCCATCTTGGAGGAACAAAGGATTTCTCATTAGTATCTATAGTGTTCATTTAACCAACATGGCCGCCGGTCTTTTTTCTTTTGAATCTCATAGTGAATGATTGAAAACGATCAATACGTCACAGTGGCCATCCTTGTTGAACTTCCACAAAGGATTTCTCATTAGTATCTAGTGTTTATTCAACAAACATGGCCGCCGGTCTTTTTTCTTCTGAATCTCATAGAATGATTGAAAAAGAGCAATGTGAGGCGTGATTTAAAGTAAAAATTTTTTATTTAGAATAGACTTGCATACCCGAAAGTAAAGTTTTCTTCTTTAGTCAATTATTCGTGATGTTCATTTTTCCAGTACTTAGGTAAGTGATGGCTCTGTTTCGATAAGTACCTCATCTTCAAATGTGATACTTGGTTCATTTACAATTCTCCCTGCTGCTGGGATCTCATTTGGGAGCCTTTCTGATTCTGGATTTGCTTGATTATGTCCAAGGCTGCTATCCCTTTGCTTTGTGCTTATGATATTTCTCAGAGTTCTCTTCGTTTTTAGTTTCAACGTCGAGTTTCTGTTAAAACATTTGTTTCTGCAACTTTCTGCCTTGGTGCTGCACTGGCTGCAGTCATCGATGATTGGCCCGCATATCGTTATACATGCCTGCCACAATTCGTTACATTTCTTGAGACAATGATCAATCAACGCTGGGAATGTAATAGTGGACTGGACTTGTTGGCTGTGCTCAACTGCAACAACAGCAACCATCAGAACGACAAGGGCTGTATTCATGATTTCTTTTCAACAATAATCTGCGACGAAAAAAAAATTTTCAGTATTTTGCTTTAATTTTATATCGTCGAAGAATCGTCGGGCGAGCGTTGGATACAAAAATAATTATAGAAAATTTGAAAAAAAAGAAGAAGAAGAAAAGCACCATGCAAAATTTGAAAAAAAGAAGAAAAACATCACTTAGATTTCCGTTTGTTGTTCGATGTATGACTGAACTGATAAATACATGATTGTGGTAATGGAGCCCGTCTTCTCTTACAGTATAAGGGTTCCCATTCTCATTTATATTTCCGCGGTCCACTAATCCTTCCAAAGCTACCGTTCAACATGAGTATACCAACAAAAACAAGGATAACAAGAATTGCCTTGCGTCCTGTCGTATCTCTCTCGAACTACTCACTTTACGATTAACTTGCTTTCCGTTTTCTTTTTGTTTTCTTTTGTTGTTTTTGTTTTTAATTAGCGGCAACGTGAAGTTCAACTCACATGCCCCCTTTTCTGGTCAGTTTTCATATATTCTATCGTAAAATCAAGGATCATATCGTTGCATCCAATATCGTTTTATCGCAGGTCTTTTTCCTTACATTTTACTATAGTTTGATGGGGAATGTAACGCAAACGTAAAATCCAGGAAAGGCGTTCAAGTATAGTAAAATCCACTGTATGCAAAAGCCGGGTGCTTCCATAGCAAAACATCCATAAACCTTGCAAATGCGTGCCTGTGACTAACCGACGATCTCGAATTTCTTGATGTGTCAAAACGTGATTAACTTGATCATGGCTGAGATGTTTGCATATAGCCCTGTGTGTAGTCAAAATCACATAATAGCCGAGCTGGGTTTACAGTGGCCTTTTAATTGTTTGAGGCTGACAGAGAAAGAAGAGCAAGCCTAAAAACTCCTTGCATCAAATGTCTTTCATTTTTAGTTGAGCTTTCTTCAACTCGCAACAGAGGATTTTGTTGCGTGGCTGATTGCGCGCTGATTGCGCGCGATAAAAAACGAGAAACATCGAACCTAAACTTGAACAGGAACGTTGCTCGCCAAGTTGATGGTTTTTGTATCTCGTATTTTGCCGCCTTAAGTCTATCGAATGTGAAAAATTTGGCTTTACCAGGAAAAATACGAATAAAATACGGTCTCAATGACCAGTTTATATACCTTTATATGCAGATCCGTTCTTCAGATGTGCTTGGCCTAGATTAGCGTTCGACAGGTTTGAGCATTTGTGAAATATCCTTACTCTTGAAGTTCTTAAATATTCTAAGCCATTTCCTAAAAGGTAGTCAAAGACAATAGTTGAAATTGGATGGTGTCAAGTGGGAGATACAGATGAATCTCGACGCATCCGATCTTGAACGTACCAATACCTGAATTGAATTAATCAATGTTGCCGGAATGGAAAAAGATGAAGTCATCAAAGCCAAACACACGGAAAGGGATTCACTAAGCACTCAAATTTGCCTAAACATCATATTTTTATAGCCGTTACTCGAAGAGGTTTATTTTAAATTAACCTTCTGCAACCCGACTCATACGTTTTTTTTTAATCATATTGCTCGTTTTCAATCATCCTCATGAGATTCAAAAGATAAAAGACCGCCGGCCATGTTGGTTGAATGAACAATAGATACTAATTAGAAATCCTTTGTTGAATTTCAACCAAGATGGCGGCTGTGACGTATATTGAAAACGAAGAATAGGTGTATACCAAAGCAATATCTTGTTTTATCTAAAATAAGACAATGGTATCTCGTGTATCGGGGTATAATGGGAGTAACAAAACGAAAAGGATATCTTGCCTGAATGCTTCATTGTATTGTTTAACATTGATGTTTTATATTTATTCTACGTGACTTAATAATATAAGTTGATCTTTTTTGCTTTATGGTTTACTTTCGACCTCGTGCACTTCAATTACACGATTATTGAGGGCGCCGGATTATTGATTATTGAGAGCGAGAGGGATTAATGCGTAAATAGATTCGATTCGATTAATGTGTCTTCAAACAAAAAAAAGCGAGTTTAAATGTTTAGCAAAAGACACGTGGCTATGAAGACACGTGGCAGGTCACGTGTAGAAGCTATCATCTTGTCCATTCTGCGAAAACAATTTGATATGCCATTGTTGATATGCCATTCTATACGACTCTATACCGACTGAGGGGGTGAGCAAAGAACTCGCCTATATATTCATCGCTTGACAATAAGATATATAAGTCTACACAATTATATAAATTAGAAAAGAGTTGAAAATTGTTAATTTTTTCAACTTCACAATAAAAATCAGTTGTTGCAATACTTTTCAGCTGTTTAATCGTGGAGCATGCATATAGGCACGAACCGGTGCACTTCATTCTTTTTTTTCACAATGTCGAAAGTTTGGCTTCGGTACATCTTCGTAGCCAATCACATTGTGAATTATATATCCGGTRGCCAATCACATTACGTTGTGTATTCCGAATGCTATAGCCTGTCGATAATCCCGTTCGCAACATTTCCAACTCGTTCTGCACAATGTTTTATCCGCCATTTTGATGAATATTGTCTCTACTAACGAATATGGAACAGAACATGAAGGTTTACGACCAAAATCTGGAACTCATTACTTGTCTGGGTGTTCGGACCAAGGGTATGTTGAATTGTGATGACGAGGAGATCTCACTACAGAGATCAACACGCTTACTACTCGTGAAGCAACAGCAACGATATAGTGATTGGGTTCCAATGATTGAATATCATAAAAGTTAATAAAGCGTCACGTTGTAACCAAATCATGCCTAGCTATATATCTCCGGGTATATCTGACCTTAAAATTATACTGCAGAATCACAAAGGCAGTTACAGCTGAAATTTTAAGAGCCACCACATATAAGCTTATCGCAAAAATCACATATATCTTGGCAAGGCTCGATGGATCAAATCATTTCTTTATTCTGTATCAGTAAGGTTTTAATAAGGCCTCATTTACTAATGATCTCACAACATCATGCACAACAAAGGGTACGTGTCAACCCTGCATACAGGGTCTAGTTTTGAACTTCTTTCCAAAGCTTTCGACCTAAGCGTTCATTTTCAGGGAACACAAAGACATTACAAAAACAAAAACAAAAACGCATTCCCTTTTCCCTGGTTAGTGACCAAGGTGCTAAGAATGTCTTGATTGTGTTGTTTAGGAAATTTCCTGGCTGCCAAATTCTAAACTAAGACTTCTTCTCTTTTTTGGTGAATATTACAGTCATTTTTGTTTTGGTAAGATCCTAGCTGCACACGCTTACAAGTTAGAGAAGGGCACTAGAGAATGTCTAAATTTATTTCCAGTTCTACTTCTCAAAATTCTTACATTCATGCAAAAACTCATTTTTTTCAGGAAATTTGACCTTTCTACTTTGCATTTGGTCAGTCTATCGGCCCTTGTTTTACTGATTGAGAGAAGTCGAGAAACATGCAGCTTATTTTTTTTGGTCCACTCCCCGACGCGCGTTTTCTTGAGGTGCACTCGCAAAGATTTATGGAAAACAACGTATTTTCTCGACAGGGAGTACCCCGTAATCTACATTTGAAATATTTTTTCTGCCAAGTCATTCGCTCCTACCCATAAACATAAAAAAAGCCATTGCTTTTTTTAGTCCAACCCTGCCGAAATTAGAATGGTAGGTCGCGAAGCCAAACAAAAGAGAGCCGCGGAATCGATTTCACTCCAATGGCACCATCGGCTTCAAACCAACTGACGATCTCCATTTTCATACAATCGATTCCCACCTCTGATTTTTTTCCAGAATAGCGTCTATTCCACCTAGGCGAGCTCAATAATGCAAGTCTAGGGGCTCTTGTGCTAGAGTTTGACCTAAAAAAAAAACACTTAAAAAACAAGTTTTGCTGTGTGTTTGAACGAGCTTTTCGCTATTCAAAGACACGAGCAAAACAGTTAGCACTCCATCAAGGGATTTGGAATAGAGGAAGAAGACGTTTCCACGAGGTGAAAGTGTGAAGTGGATGAAATCTCGCTCACTGAAGGGAGTGGGTCAGTAGAGGAAGAGTTCATAAACAGTCTTTACAGGGAAGACTAGAGATCTTCTTCAAGGGGTGGATAGATGAAGACATTCCCACGATGGCGATATATAGACATTTGATGAGATTTCCTTCAAGGGGTGTGTAGATGAAGAGTGGAAGACATTCCCACGAGGGCGATATATGGACATTTGATGAGATCCCCTTCAATGGGGTGGGTAGAGGAAGAATGGAAGACATTCCCACGAGTGCATGCGATATATTGACATTTGATGAGATCCCCTTCAATGGTGTGAGTAGAGGAAGAGTGGAAGATATTCCCACGAGGGCGATATATTGACATTTGATGAGATCTTCTTCAATGGGCTGGGTAGAGGACTGAGTGGAGGACATTCCCACGAGGGCGATATATGGACATTTGATGAGATCTTCTTCAATGGGCTGGGTAGAGGACTGAGTGGAGGACATTCCCACGAGGGCGATATATGGACATTTGATGAGATCTTCTTCAATGGGCTGGGTAGAAGACATTCCCACGAGGGCGGTATATATGGACATTTGATGAGATTTCCTTCAAGGGGTGGATAGATGAAGAATGGAATATATTCCCACGAGGGCGATATATTGACATTTGATGAGATCTCCTTCAAGATGGGTAGATGAAGAGTGGAAGACATTCCCATGAGGGCGATATATGGACATTTAATGAGATCTCCTTCAAGGGGTGGGTAGAAGGAGAGTGGAAGACATTTCCAAGAGGGCGATATATTGATGATCTCCTTCAAGGGTTGGGTAGAGAAAGAGTTCACAGGGAAGACGTTTCTACGAGGAGAAGTTGTTGACAATTGAGAGAAGGCTTCCATGCCTGAACAGTTCAGATCTTAATAGATCGGCATCGTCGTCCACGGCATTCCTTTACGATGTAAATCAGCTACGACCAGCACCTTAACTTTTATTTTTTATTGCATTCAATTGAACCTCCGCAAGTTGAATGTCTGACATCCATCATAGCATTTATTTATATATATCATGTAACAGCTTTGGTTTACTATTGTTGTATAAATTTATAATCATTAATGCAGGGGTGGTGGGGGGATTCATCACGGGGGGCGCCAGTTTTTTTCCGGTTTTAAGACTGTGAACAAGGCGATCTGACTGCAAAATTGCACGAGTTTTGTTTTGGATTCACACAGAACAAATGTTGGACTATACGAAAATATGTTACCCTATTTGGTAAATAAAGTCCCATATTTCAAAGACTTTGTCTGCCAAAGAAGGTGGGCTTTCGGTAAGCCTGGACCCCTCCCTGCAAACACCCCTGTAATAGTTTATGAAACTGTATAAATGACTGAATTGATCATAAAGAATTCTTGCGAACTTCAACGTCAAAAAATATAAATATCTTATTCAAATTGTCAATCAAATTTTTCTTAAACCTAAAAACATCAAAAATGAGCTTTGATCCATTGGTTCTCCCGATAATGCCAACTCTTCTTCGACCTTTTGAAGCTCTCGATGCCAAAGATCTTTCGATACGACAGGGATCTGGTTAACGAGTTTTGGGGAGTTTCTCCCACGCGATTTCCGACCTGCTTTCGGTTTACCTTTCAACCTTTTTGAAGCCACGAAATCTTCGTCATCCGAGGCTTCCACGTAGCTAGGGTAACGATGGTCCTCTCGAGTGATTTTACGAGGGTCTCTTTTTCGTGGCCTTTTTCGATGCGAATTGTCACCTTTTGGACTGATAGAGATAGTATGAGAACTTACTCGGAAACTGTGCTTTCCTGGACTTGGTATACGAAGTTCCGACTTTAAATCCGGAATTTCTACTACCAGCATTCGGTCAGCAGATACAACAGGAGAATTGTTACTATCTATTGTTCTTATTTTCTTAACTGCTTTCTCTTGTTTCGCTAGCAAGTTTTTCAAAGTTCTAATTTTTGCTTCTCTGTGAATGTTGTTTGGACTATTTCTTTGTTGCTTTTCGGTAGGGCTATGTTCTAGTTCATCTAAAGAATGTGTTATTGAATTCGACTGACTATTTTTATTTAGAGTCGGATTACTAAATTGGTTATTCTGTTCTTCAAAACACCACTGTCTAACTTCAATGGGCGCTTTCCTACGATGTTTCCGGCGATCTTTTGTGATGTCAGTTGTTGGTGATATCACCTTGGTTATGACGACATTATCATCGCCATCACTGGGCGTGGTCGGCGCTGGACGTGATGAAAACAATAGTGGTCTATACTCATAGTTTTGAGAGTTACGTGTATTTGTGACGTCATGTACTACATCATTTCTCTTGCTTTCGACAAGAGCCTGATTGGTTAAGTCTTTAGTGATATTGTTTGAATAAGTTGGAAGACCATTTGCAAGAGACGTTCTTGGGTTCTGACTTTGAGATTCTAAAGTTTTCGTTCTATTGTCAAAAACTAATCCATTTGGTCTAGACTTCACAGCATTTACTTGAGAAACCGTTGGCTTGGCCGAGGGGAGCGTAGAAGGGCCATTCAAAGTAAATTGTTTTACTGTATCTACAGGTTTTGTTGAGTTCAAAGGCTGAGAATCGATGAATAATCCATTGCTTTTTGCAGCTTTTAAAACGAGCGAATCCACTACAATGTTATTATCTTTGATTTGACTGTCTTTCGCTTTATGGTTAAGTAAATTAGACAAGTCAGCAAATGGTGTATTTTCAGTTAAACTGTACGCAGCCAAGATCTTGGGGAATGTGTTTTCAGTTTGTGAAGGGGCCAGGTCAAGTTCATCATCGCTATCATCTAGAGTTAAATCAACGACGACGGGCACTGCTTTTCCGTCTTGCCTTGGGATGGTGCCAGTCTTGTTGTTACCTTGTAATGTAACCACCCTACTAGTTTCATTAATATGCCGCTGACCATGGACTCTATCCGTCATAGTTTCATCTTGAGGTTGTGAGTAAATACCATTAGCTTGAGGCAAGTAGTATACAAAGGAGTCCGTATTATTCTGGTTCATCTTTGAAGAACCGTTTTGCAGCACATAATGGCTCATCAGATCCTTACCACTGGGTTCACTAGAACAAGAAGAAAACATTAGACTTCTAGCATAACACTTAGCCCAAGTCCCTCTCCACAGGAAGCCGAAGTTCTTATCATCCACAGGGAGCCCAAGTTCTTATCATCTGCTGGGAGCCCAAGTTGCAGGAGTAAAAGCATAATACTTCAGTTTCGAGATCTTATTTGTGCAGCATTAACCTTGAAAGCATGTAATATATAGAGGATATTACATGAGCGTGCAGAGATATGGATTTTAACTTCGAGTGTTGAAAAGATCTCTCACGAGTGAGCATAGTGAATGAGTGAGAGATTTTCAGCACGAGAAGATAAAACTCGTATCTCCAAGCGACCATGTAATATTCTGTTTATCATATAATTACATATGAAAGCAAATTGTGTCGTAAAATACATTTTTTTTTGCTTTTACCATATAGAGAAACCTTGAATGTGTTATTTTCATGTTATTTTCAGTAGTGAAAATATCAATTTTACAAAATGGAGAAATATAGGTATTTCATAGATAATTATATGATAAATTCTTTTATTCAGCAGAGACCCTATTGTGATGCAAACATTCTGTATAATGAAGGCAATAAAACTTTATTCTTGAATAAAGCTAAGCTAGCACAAAAGAGAATTTGAAACTGGAGTATTCAAGGTAATTAAACATTTGTATAATTATTGTGACCATGAATAGAACATAACACGTAAAATACAGTAGCATTACTACTGAGTCTATTTCTAATGAAGTTTAAGGAAAATGGATGACCAAAGAGGTCTGAGAAAGATCCAACAGTGGAACAGCAGTAGGGAAGACATCCTTAACACATTATCAAAATACAAAGTTCCAATTTCACTATTCAGGGTAACCATTTAAAAATGCCCTTTATAACTATAAGCCTAGTTTAAACAGAATAATGACCGAAAATGAAGATTTGTAGTGCTACACAAGACCAATATAATGACACAAACAACATAAGAAATGGGGCATGATTCTGTTATGTTGCCTGTGTAAAAAAAAATGTCTACGCTTATTAAAAAGGTTTCATTTCGGGGGGGGGGGGGGGGCTCTACAATTTAGATAAAAGATCAAGATAATTTTTTTGTGTGTCTTGGACAGGGTAATATTTTCGTAAGAAATACCGTAGAAATAGTAGAAATAACGTTTCACTGTAACAGGATTATAACATGTTGTCAGTATAACTACAGTTTTGATGGTTGCAGCATAGATACCGATTCCTTATTTTTCCGATTTGTCTTGAACAGGGTATGGATTTTTACTTTCTAGTGTCTTAAACAGGGTCAGGGTTTTAGACCGCTGGCGGCATGTACCTATCCAAAACGGGGTCGATTACCCCCCCAGGGTTTCATCTGTGTATCCCAACTGTGTACCACTCTATACACGACGACCCAATGAAAACAACAGAAGTGCTTAGCCTGGATGTCCTTTGTTACAACTATTTAGACCTGACCAATCAGATAATAATTCGGACAGCAATAAAACTGATAACACAACCCAATCAGATCACAACATTACCATAACGATGTTTAATGATCTTGAAATGTGACTGGCTAATTCCCAAAACCTTTATCAGTAAACATTTGCCTTGCTTTTGCAAGCCATGTTGTAAAGATGACTTAAGCTGCCAAATTGGGAATCAGAAAACTTTCCTGTGGTTTAACCATCTAATATTTTGATGGATTCAATTGGTACAAACTGATTAAGTCCTGATTTTTCCAAGGTTAAAACCATAGAATATCCAATATATGAATTATCTTGTAACCATTTCTATGCTTTAACATAAAATAGAAGAATAAAAAGCTATGGACAACTCTCGAACCACATTATATCAATATTAGCCGCGTGGCCTGGAAACAGAGCCTGGGATCAAAACAATGACAAGACAACCTTCTATGGATAACTTTGATCTGATTCCTTGGCAGGGATGTCAATCCCTTGATCATATCTCTCTGTTTCAAGATGACAATTTTGATTTTGAATGAAATTCAAAGAAAAGTGAAAAAATATTAGATGTGATTTGATGTACATGACATACTAAATGAAATATTGCTGGTCCATGTTGGTTTCATATTTTAAATGTAACAAGAAAATGTTGGACCTGAAGATCTCGAGGTATGTTTTAAATGGAGATGACAAGCCTGACATGGGAACACGCAAAGCAAAAGGGCATAAACTAACAACAACAGGGAGGGGGGGGGGGGGGGGGGCACAAAAGGTGGCTAGGATGGAGGTTAAAAGTAAAAGAGCTTTATTAGTCTCTCATTGGCTTGGGGGTGGGGGCAGTAAATAGACATTTGACCTTTTTCGATAGATCAGGCAAAAGAAGAGCAAATAGTCACACAAGATGTTATAATGTCACGGATTTGGCACAAATCCAACATTCTGTCTTTTCTGTTTCTGGCTATTTATGATGTCTTATATCTTTCTAAACTTTCATAACCGGTCAAATCTTACCCTAACAAACAAACTTGATATATAGTAAGTTACTATTTGGGGAGAAGCATAGTCGGCTTTCGAAAGTCCACAATGGCCGCGAGTCGGTCGCTTGCATACAAGTTCTATTCTTGATGAAGTCTATACACGATTTACATGTAACACTTTAACACACAGCATTCTTTCGCATTTAAAGTAAGATACATACAGATGATTTAATCTAGAAGGACACATTTAGTAGGAATCAGAAAGGTGCAATACGATACAACGCATAAATCATGCTTCTCCCCATGTCAACTATGGCGCCCTATCTCAGCTAAAGGATAGTATATCAAGCCGGCTTAACAATACAAAAACCAAATTAGTCAAGCATTCGAGGAAGAAAATGAGTGATAAACAATTATCTAGGTTTTTGTACCTTCCGTCAGTGTTTGACTTCTGCGTAACGCCGGCAGACGTCGGTGACAAGGATGGCCTCGAGTTTGAACGCCGAGATATTTCAAGATCTTTTCCACCATTCGTTGCCAAATAAGGTTCATTCGAGGATATCTTTTTGGTCAACGCCTTGGCTGTCTGTAAAGCCTTTAAATTGTTGCCCATTACTAAAAGCTGCAGTATTTCTTTGACATATATATGAACGACACATCCAACGGGTCTTCGTCACGGATGAATGGATTCAACGGTTCGACTGGAGTAAGTTCACAAATATGAATATGAATTACATTGGGACTTCATCACACAATATTGGTATCAAAATACCGTAGTGTAAGGGAGTTTAAGCCGTGTTCTGTCCAAATAATGCCTTCGAAAAAGGAAGATTTGTATCATACACAAACAAAATACAACCTCGTGGACAATGATCTTCGATGTGACGTCATATCGAAAACAGGTTTAGCCAGTTTTCACTGGTGGCCGCCATATTTGCGGCATTGTTGAATTCTCCAAGTTTTGATTGAAACAACGGCCCCCTCTCCCCGAGCAATACCATGGGAAATAACATTTCGACGACGTTAAAGCCCTGCATTTCCCGGCCCTTGGTGGCCACTGGAAAAGGCGGCAAACACGATCATTTTAATTCCCCCGCCTCATCCCGTTGGTTCAGTGTGCTGTTCTTTATTAAAACGGGTTATATTAACAATATAATCCGGCACTGTGTTAATAAACTGTGGGTTGGGGGACAAGGGTTTCAATAGTCCTTTACGCTGATTACAAAAGAAGAAGCCCGTGGTTTCGCACCAATAGCGCGAAGTAGAATCGGGAAACAACCCAAAATAACTTCCTTTTGAGCTTTTTTATCCTTTTGCAATGTCATGAAAGAAATTTTTGTTGGTGAAAAAAAGCCATGATTTTGACATGACTTGGCACTCTTGTTCATTTGAGGGCTGCAGTTTCACACGGTATCGAGGTAGTAAAAACGTGTTGCCCGCTTTGGTTTTAACATTACCTCGATACCGTGTGATATATTTTTGGTATCCAACATCTATTTACTGAACTATATACCTGAATTCGTTTTATTCCGTGGTTGCATTGAAGCAAATAAGCCAAATATACTGACGCCGAAAAAAATTCTTTATGCCCTATTTTTTTGTCAAATTTGCCGCCAATACCACTCGGTGTCGCTTCCACTTTTAGTAAACAAAATTGTTTTACTTTTAACAAATAGATAAAAATGAAAAATTACAAAAAGAAAACTGAAAACACATTTGATTGTCTTGGTTTTTTTATTTGCCATTCAGTGCAATTTCTGGATTGAAGAAACAAGTCAAATTCGCACGAAACGTCGACGCCATCTTTGTCGACGCATCCTCCCTTTTTGAAAATTGCTGGACCGCCGAAAGCCCATTGCAATCCCTATTATAATGTAACAAATCAGTAAGCCGACAAAGCAATCTACAATAAAAGTTTACGCGTTGTTTACGCATTATTGTTCACCCTATAAAGGCTCATGCATGTGTTTCTGAAATGATTCCCGAGCTTTATTCAAGCAATTCAGTATTCGGTATCATTGTAAGTTTAAAAGCAGTTGTTGCATTCATCTTTCTAATAACTAAATGAGGCAAAAAATAAGCCATATTATTTCAACCTCGTTCCCAGGACCTTTATTGGCCTTATTGGGCAAAGGGCCTAGGAATGAGGGTTAATTTACTTTCTTACCTCACAGGGCCTAGTCTCTGGTACGGTCTCTGGGGTTTCAATTTCATAATGGCAATAATATTGCGGCCATATCATACGGCCGCCATCTTGAATTTTCAGTTTCGATTCAGTAAGAAAATATGGGATGCCTAGTGGTACCAAACAAAAACTGTTTCATTTATAGACTGTACGCCGCTATTCTATGAGAATCAAAAGGATGCTATGAGATTCAATGTCGAAAAAAAATATTTGGATGTTTATCATTTTAAGACAATAAAAAACGAATAAAAAATGGTTTTCTTGTCCCGTTGGTAATGAAAATAGTCTATACCTAATAAACTTAACGAAATTGGCTGAAACTTCAGGGATTATTAGTCATAACACCTTACAAGACAATAACAGCTAGGCGTTCGTGGTTTATTGCTCTCCAATTATTAAAATTTATATGGCAGTCAATGACCGCTAGTGGATCGACTGCATCAGTTTGTATTTTTAGTTTTCTTTTTACGCTTTTAACTTTGATTTTTAAAGTTTTGGATCGGCTGCCAGCTAAGTGAGGTCTTCGCCTTCGTTGCTGGTCATCGAGTATCAATTCTGCAGAATCACTTCTCCCGCTGAAGAATGCATTCATTTTGGCATTCATTTCAAAGCAGAGTACTGTTTTGTGTCTTTTTTTCCCTTGTTGCGAATTCTTTCAACTGTAAGATCGACAATATCTACTAGTAAGTTTACGAGCAATTTCGGTGCTATATATAGCTTGCTATTTCGGAAACGCTTATAGATTTTAGACGCATAGGTCGAATTCGACCTAAATTTCAGGGGACAGTCGGGCCAAGAGTTAATCACTGAAAGAAAAGATGTTGATAGTAATTTGTTTCATTTTCACACACTAGAATAATTTCGCAAACCACCGCCATGTTTTAATATCTTTAATAGCCTGATGTTTAATTATTTATTTTTAGATTATTATAGCCCAAATGATAAAGAAAGAAAGAAAGAAATGAAAGAAAGAAACATGACAATACAAAGTTATCGACCGACGCGTTGATTTCCTTCGCCATCATTGAAAAACCATTGATTCTAATACTGTAAGACAATGTTCAAATATATAGTTTTGCAATGATCGCTATCTGAAAACGCTGCCAGAATTCATTGTAAATTCTTTGTCAATCACTAAAAGTAAAACTAATTTGCTGTCTGCAAATTGAACTCAGTGGTAGCTGCCGCGGAGATTTCCTCGTTTTTTAACCATACAAATTTCAACTACAAATGAATGTTAACGAACGTTTTATTTTCAAATGAATTGAAAACAATTTTATTGCTATTAAACATCAGCGGGGTTCCAACTTAACGCATGCTCAGGAAGAGTTATTTTCAAGTGTAAGTTAAGGATTCCTTGAAGGCCTTACAGCTATGTTTAGCACGTATAAGTATTATCTGCCTCAATGAAGCGAAAAAAATAAAACAGGAACGTTTAGTCTGTCAACAAACCACATTTTTTTACTTCATTACAATTAATTGGATAGCTGGAAAGTAATGCTTCATAAAAAGCCAATCCCATGCACTTTGTTAGAGTAGATTAATTTCTACAATAATAATTTTTCTTCTTGAGACCACTGTGCAAATGTAATTACAAAAGGCATTTTCTATTGGTTCGCCTCTTGTTATACAAACAACGGAGAAGTATGATTGGTATTAGTGGTTATTAATATTTTATCGACAGTCTAATCCATCTTTGACAAGCGACTACACACGTATATTTACAAACATAAGAGACAGCAAACACTTCATAAAGTCTTATGAACGCTTCTGTTTAGTCTTGGTTTGTGTATGAGTTCTACTTAATGGCAAAGTAATAACATGGCGACAAGATGACACTCGTTGCAGTTTGCCCAAATCACGCCGAGTCGTAAGAATGAATTGTTTTCTACGAAATTAAAATCCTTTATTCTCAGTAAATGGCTAAAAAACACATAAGAAATCAAAGTACAAGTCCTTCGACGTGCTTCATTTCAAGTAAAGACCCAGCGGGCATAACATCTCATCAAAAACAAGAGAGCTTAGTGCGTTGTGCGAAAACTTCACCAGACAACTGTTTGACTCACGCAAGAGTAAATCAACTCTCCAGCAATCCTTTTCAGTTTGTAAAAACTCGATTTGATGATTCTGCAAACAGGTAAAGGAAGTCTTATCCAAAAAGTGATATTTTAGGTTTAATCAGTGGGCCGACAAGTCTTTCATAAAACATTTAAAACTATTAGGTTGTCTAGGAAGTGTATACACTTTATTAGAATCTGTAGACAGGTACTGGTACTAATGGTAAAGAGAATTTAAATTCATTGAATATGACAATTAATATTGTGTTCTAGAGAAGTTACAATAGATTTAACTGCGAGAAAATTCCAGGGCCTTATGACGTTTTCGTTGCTTCAAATCATGAATTAAATATAGTTTTCTCGTTAGATTTACATTCAGTCACACTGCAGTTCTCTCAACTGGTTGCCATTCTCAGCAAGAACGGATTATCGATCAATAGGAAAAGAACTTTGCAGTAAATATTTATCTTGTTTATGAACATTCATTAAAAGTGACTGTTCAGGTAGCACTTTTATCAAGATCTAATTACACTTTAGGATGATTAAAATACATAAATCTAATCTATAAAAAGCGATAGTTTTTGTTAAGATATACCACGATTTGAGATCTCAAAACCACCCTTTCACCACAATGTGCGTTTGAAAAATCCCATCGGGCATGCGCAAATGTAAGTTAGTGCAATTTCGTTGTAAATAGGGTTTCCAATTATAAACACGAACTGATAACAAATATTATACAAGAAAAAAGATAGGTTAAGTCTGACGAACCAACTAACTACACGAGTCCGCTCTTTATCATGTGTGGTTCAGTGTTTTTGGCGCCAAGTTGTTTTAGCATTCGACTCTGAACTTTAAAGTCGAATGCTAAAACAACTTGGCGTCGAATGATCTTCTGTTTGAAGTTTTAGTGACTACTAGTGTATTCGTTAAATATCCGTTCCTTGACTTTTCAACGGTAGAGAAAAAGGATGTCTGTTTAACATAAGGACTTCAGTTTTTGCATCTGTTACAATGACATTTGATATTATTGCGTACAAATTATAAGCAAGTTTCTTCCAATTGGTTCATTTATATTTGGTCTATATATATAAACAAGAACTAGAATACGATAATAATAGTTCATGTACTCCAGGCCCGTAGGCTGCCTTACCAATGGGGGACGTTTTTTCATAATGCGGACCTAAATAAAATGTTTAACAAAATTACTTCAATGCATAGGTATAGCTTGTGTAAAAACTGGCTGTTAGAATGAGCAGTTCATAAGAAAATAATCTCAAAAACAGTTCATAACAAAAGAATTTTAAAACTCAACAATAAAAAAAGAGAAACACCGGACCTTTTAAGCTTGTGATAGAGGTATTGTAATGATGTACTTTTATTTGTTCATAGCCTTCCTCGTCCATTGCAGACTGCCACAGGTAGCGAGCCAGTTTGTCAGTATCATTACTACCAGACAAGTACCAATAGATGGATGAATCAGGCTGAATACAAACATCAAAATATCAATTGCTGGCTAGAGAACGTACTAAAGAACAACCAAAATAAAAGAGAAGAAATCGAGGACTTTGAGACAGAACAAATCACGCAGGATGAAGAAGATGAACATCTTAGCATCGATGACAGCAGCGCCAGCTGTTTGCTCAGAGCCAAGCGGTATAAACCATATCACGCATGCGCTAAGAGAGATCTACCAATTACAGACCAGAATGAGATGAACTGTCGACAGGATAAAATAATGACACTTACGACTCTTATTACGAGGCACGATGAACATAAAAACGGTCTTAAACTATGCCGAAATATGGACAGTGACAAACAAAGACTGAACACTGGAAAAAAGACACTTCGTGGACCTGAGAGAGGAAAAAACTGTCAACTCCAACCAAACTCGAGCAAATCTAAAGCAAATGGTAAACCAGCGAAGGAGAAAAAAATGACTTCTTTTGATATCCGAAACCCGAACTCGATATTTCTTGCTGTATTAGAGGAAGAACAGCTAGCGCGACGACGATTAACCGGTGGATGGAGTTGTTGCGCGACTGAAACTCTTACAGGACAACAAGACGAGTTGCGGGTCGAGTTGGAAAATATTTCTGCCTCGTGAAACCCACTTTACTGCAGAGCTAGTGTTATAAATATTACCATGAATATAATAGTATTAATATTTAGTATTATTAGGTAATTAATATTATCAATCCGATTCAAAATGTTGGACTTGATGGTGGACTTGAATGATGGATGTGATAAGGAGTATGTCGTCATTAACTTCTCTTGTTCATTCAAACAAAATGGCGGCTACAGCTTTGTCTTGTATTTCTCAGGGAATTCCTCGTCATGTGGCTGCTACATATAGGAGCTGATCATTGACAGGTGGTGGGATGATTTGGTCTGTGCAAGTATTTTTTTTATTTGACAAAATTACAAAGTTTCTAGTGAAGAGTTTGACTTGCAGGAAATTTTGCGTGCCACCAATTTCTTTTCAAAATCACCCACCTCCTCCCTCAAAAGTCTAATGTTCAGCCCCTAAGTCATGCAGTCTCAAATGACTAATGCTACCAATAAAAGCGATAGATAGATATAGATATTTCTCATTGATAGCATTGAATTACTGCCAACAATCTTACGAGTTGTTTTTCCTCTTCTTTTGTGGTCCATGAAAAAATTTCCACATGAAAGAATTCTGAAATGAAAATTCAACCTCGTCCCCAGTCCCTAATCCCTTCGTTTTCGACAAGGCGGGATACCAAACGAAGCAATATAAAATTGCGAAACGACTTATGGAAAATAAGACTTGATGAGTTAGTGAAGTGATAGTCTTCTTTGCAAACGTTCTTGGTATCGGCCATGCGTTTAAGCATGCAGTTTTTTGTCAAACAAAGGAAATGGAATGAATCGCTCCATTGAGCAGACGGTAGTGGAGAGGGAACGTGACCGATACTTCCCATCATCATCATCGTCGTTCGGCTGCTGCGCAGGCGACCACGAACTTTCTCCATTGTCAGATACAACTAACGTCTGCAAAGGAGGCTAGTGAAGTGAAGCTTTTATAGTAGATTTTATTTTTAAGCCCAGAAATATTATAGTTGACTTTTTTTTTATAAATTCAAAGGAATTGAGCCAGCATTTTAATCGCTGCCCATGTGGCAAATAGCTTAAGTGGTTTTTCGGTCTTTATGTAGTCTACAATTGTAGGTTCGAGTTCACGCTTTAAGTGCTATAGTTTATGGCATCGGTTATTTTATTCAGTTATCAGACACGAACACGCAAAATCATTCCGTGAAGAAAAGAAAGAAAAGTGCGCGTCTTTTTTGTCCCTGTTTATTGAATGCCTTAGATGCTTAGTAGGTAGACACTAGTTCTCCACGGTCCTTGTTCTTTGTGTGCAAGCCAACAATGTGTCATTGCCGCATGCTGACATCTCATAATATACACATTTGTTAGACATAAAGCGTGATGGCACGGCATCCAGTAACCAACGCACGATTCTTTGTTCGCGTGCGTATTTCACTTTTCGTGGACGTCTAAACAGCTAATGAAAAGATCCAGTCTGAATCCAGCAATTTTGAACGACCAATCTATCTATACATGTTGGTTGTTAGGGTTGCTCACTCATGGCGTTGATGAAGGTAAGAACTAAAAGTGATCACGTGCTTAACCCAGGTAATTTGTAAGCATCCCAATTGCCTGTTATTGAAGGCATTCGTACAAAGGTCATATCCACATTATTCGGTACTTATTCAAAAAGAATGAAATAAAGATAAGAGATTTTGAATAGATATGAAAAACGAGATCGCCTGTTTTTGTTTCAACGATTACAGTGTAATATTTTTTTATAATCCATTAAAATTCACCTGTGTAGTTTTCAATGTAATGACACAGGGAATAAAACTAAAGTTCAACTACAAAGACCGTTTCAAAGTTCGTAGATCACACGTGCCTATTAGATCTATGTAAATCAATATCATGGTCTTTTGTCTCTTCATTATCATCTCATCATTGCACTGAATTTGGCACACGTGAGTTGGCGTAAAAAAAAAATGCCTTTAATCAAATAAAAAATCATCAGTTTGACCCAAACTAGCAACTTTCCCACGGATTATTATTGCAACCGAGTCACGCGCCGCGTTCCAGGTTCTCTTATATAATACTAGAAACACGTGACTCAGTGTATTTTTTATACAATGTCCTATAGAGCTTATTCATTATAACTGTGAAACGGTTGCAGGCTGAATTAGTCAAATTATTACAAAAGCTTTGGTCTTTAATTATTAGTGCATTTTTTTTGCAATTTCTTACAAAGCGTTTCATCGATTATAATGGATACACTCTTTAGTTTTGGTCGAAACCTTATTTTTGTAAGTATGATTTTAATTATAAGTTAACCTTTATTGTTTAATGTAATTTTTTTTTAATTTCTAATTGTTAATAATGGTTTTCCGCCATAGCATTGGTAATTCTAGCGTAATGCATTGTTTATTCTACTCGGTTTAATTCTTCTTTCAAATGACTTTTTGCTACGTTTAGTGCCAAATATAATCATGCAATGCATTTTATAGATGTTTTACCACGAACGCTTTCTTTCGCCTGAATAAAAAAGTCCGTGATATCTGGGAGCAGGATAGCCAGGGATCGGGGATTCCGGACTTAGTAATATAAAAACAGAATAAAAACTGAGAATATCGGGGTCATGCGGGATCGTGAGGGATCTGCTAAAGCTACTAAGCTGTTGCTAATACTGCTGCTACTACCGGCAATACTTTAGTTTCTGAGAGGTGTGTGCAAGGGTTTTACAATAGGAGGTTCCAGCTCTGTTTTCCGGGTTTTAGACGGTGAAGAAGGCGATTGATTTCAAAATCGCGCAAGTATTCTTTTGGATTCACACTGAACAAGCTGTTGGACTTTGCGAAAAAGTGGCTATTTATAGGCTATTTATTTGCAATAAAGTCTTATATTTCACCAAGCTGGAAGGCGGGGTTCCGGATCCCCGGGAACCACCCCCTGCACACACCCCTGACACTGGGTACATGAATTCTGATGGCCTCCTCTGAGATAATGTCGATAACCTTCATGTACACAGAAAGTATGATTAAAATTTCCGAATACCCAAAGTCCCCTTCGATCGTAGGCTTGATGTCACCTTTTTAAACTTGAAACGTTTTTGTTTTCAATTAGGAGTTGAATAGATGGATAATATCGAGAAACTATCATTGATATCTTTAAACTGAATTAACCATTGGTGATCAGGATAGTAAAGTATTATTACAATTGCTAAATCAATTTTACGAATTTGATGCCGTTTCTATATTAATAGCGACATCATTGCCTTGAGGCACCAAAAAGCACTGCGGAAACTAAGCCATTTTGCGCAGGGCCATAGGATAGTCTCACTTTCAATTTGTTTGCGATGACTCACCTTATAATAAATTCGAGCTTGATGATTGCTTACATAGAGCAACAGATGCCAAATTAAAAAAGCCGTAGTTCTCCTTGATTTAAATGGGCGTATCAATCAAACTATCATCTTTCTTCAAAGGTGAAATACAGTTTTCAGATTTCCTCGCTCAAAATGTAAAATATCAGTGAAAAATCGTAAGTTATTTGCAAAGAGATGACGAAATAGACAAATGCCGTCAATCTGACTGAGAAAGAATTAGAAATGACCTTACTAATTGTCCTGTTTATAGTCCTGAAACATCGAAGTGCATGAAACAATCACAAGCAATAACATGTTTCTTTCGTTTGTTGTGTGCATTTGAGTGTAATTCAAGACTGCATTCAGTTTTCGTTAAGTTCTCCAAACAAACAAAACAAAACAAGCAGACAAGCCGATAAAATACAACAATAAACAAAATCAAACGAGAATGATGATTTCATTAAGAGTGCTATATACTGTATATAGTATTAGATATTTCGCAAATTTTGTAATGCGCTCCTCACGTATTCAAAATTGAGCTGACAATGAAAATACCCCTTTCATGAAAAAAAGACAGATGATCAAGTTTTAAAGTCATTAAGAATTTCAATTTGCACTCTATTTTCACAGCAGTACATAATGGAGACTTCCAAAAACATCTATTACTAATCGACAGAAATACATTTAATAGTTAGTTACCGTCATTATTAGAGTTCATGACGATTGAACCATCAACTCCAGCTTCTACGCAAAATGACACTGCGAGGCGATTCCGGATTAATCTTGAGATTGAAAGTATATTACAATTTTATTTATGAAATTCTGTATAGTGCGAATTAATGACTTCGATATGTGAAAGTCCTAACTTAACAAGTAGCTTACGGCCAGCATTGCCAAGTTCACTGAATTTCATTTCAAAATATAACATATATTACAATGTTGTTATGCCTCGGGTTTCCTATCAAGCTCTATAATCATATAAAGTATAACTATTAAATATGCTATAACTGATCATATACAACTGTACAGCACACTTTTTACACTGTAAAGTTTTAGTTCAAGTGCGTTTTTAAACTGGCTTGAGAAAGGGATAGCACTCGACTAACAGAGTTATGCTCGTGTTAAAAAAACAAAGGAGTTTCTAAGGACACCCTCTTCGTTTTCGTTGTAATTTTTAGATTTGTTTACATACTTGCTTTATATGCGAGCTATGGACTGATCAGTTTTATATGTAGTACGAAGACTTTTTCATCCTAGTTTCTGAGGTTTCATATGTTTTAGTCATCATTGCGATATGTAGAACGAGTGGAAATTTGCAATATTTCTTATATTAACTAGCTTTTGCATCAGTTTGAAAAGTGTTTATTCAACCATCGCGGCGGTTCTTCCGAGCTTTTGTGTTTGAAAAGCAATCATGAAAGCCAAGCTGGGAGCGGGGTTCATTCTCTTCAAGTATAATCTCGTAACACCAAAGTACATAATAGAACGATAAGTCGAGAATAAGATTTTTTTTTGTCTTTCGTACATTTATTACTGTCATTAAAAGTAATTCAAATCGTTGTACTTAGTCCCTTTTTATTAGTGTTCGTTTTCATTTCGGCATTTTAGTAAACTCAGACGCGGTCTTTTTTAACCCCTACCTTTCTCCGTCAAGTCAAAGATCAGATTTCCAACGAGAAACAACCAGAAACAGTAATTAGTCATTTAAGGAAATTATTTCGCCCTCGTCATAGTTAGTCGAGGGGAACTTGATGCTAAGTGTCTCGTAATGTAATGTGGAGAAGTGAGATGCGGTTACAGTAAATCGTATTTATCGATAAAACTGCTCTCACGAATTGCCGCCGAAACCTATGATTCTCTGACATCTCTGGGAATTTTTCTTCAATGAGCAGATGCCAATTCTTGAAAAATGCTTAAAAGTTGTACATAACTTCACAAACTGTACTTGAAGCACTAGCTTCCATAGTACAACACAAACCAAAGCAATAGCTTGGGAAAAACTTGTTCAAGGAGTGTTATACGCGCCCTTGTTATCTTATAGAACCCCAATAATAGGACAAGGAACATTGGGGTATAAGGCAAGGCTCAAATACTTCATAAACTCTAAAAAGGAAACATGACTGACAAAACGGTGTGTACTGATAGAAATTATTCTTGTTGCTCGAGGCATTTTTGAAAAGAACTCGGTTAACACTGCCTTTCAACTAAGCACTTTTGCTCTTGACGAATCATGTCTTTTTTTCATAATACATTTTCATGCATTTTAGTAATAGAAAGCCTTGTTACTAACAACTTCTTTTAATGTAATTTCAATGATCGGAAGTGCTTTTAGCCAACATTTATCGCTTTTTAACCAAATCGATGTTTATGTTTATAAAGTAAACTAAAATGCCGATCGATTGTTCTTTTGAGGGAGTAAGTTTTGCCAACCTACAATTGTAGCTTCTTGATGATTTTGACATGAAAAAGGTGGCGCAAATGATAATCAACAAGAAGTCATGTTTTGTTATTGATGAATTTTGTTATTGTTTTCACTTTTAGCGTGGAAAATTCATTTGCTATTTGGTTGTAATCATGCTCGTGGGGTCGACTATGGCTGGTGTACCGGACACGTTAAAGTGGTTCAAATCTGATAGCGGACGTTGGTTTCTTAATAAAAAGGTGACCAAACCTTATTTCGTTTTATAAAGAGTTTCATGACGAGTTCCCTATGAAAAACTAAGAAACCAAAACCAAAATGTGCAAAAAAGTTAGCTGCGTTGATAGCCTTTTTTGAAACGCGCGGGAAATAACCATTAACAAAAAACACATGTTTTTAGCCCAACAATAAACATTGTCACAAAAAAGGAAAAAAATGTGTCCAAAGAGCTAAAAAACATCGCACACCAAACAAAAGGAACAGCTTGAGTAGAAAGATTCAATTCAACATTGACTGCTCATTCCACCTAACATCAAGCAACACGTATATGAAAGAATGTACGAATCTTGTTATTTGACTAACATTTTTGGCGACTATTTTGATTGTAGACTACCACAACAGTTCACAGCTTCTGGTTGAGAGTTAAAGAAGGGAACTCCATCGTCGACGAAAACATCAAAATCGACACGCAAAAAGAAACAGAAATATTCCATGTCTATCCTTACGACACGGTGGACGAAGCCATCTTTTTATCCGACTTTAAAAAGGTTCAAATGACTTGATTTCTTCTTAGAACAGTCGAATTAGATATGTGCTATACTAATGATATTATTTTATGTACTTAGAACCTAACACTTATTAAGCTACCGAAGAAAAATCAATGTTTACTGCAAAATCTGAATCCCATTACACCTCCTCCAAGACAACTTATAGATAATATAAAGAAGGTATTAAGTCATTCTTCTCTATCCGACATTATGTCATATTAATCTTATTATCATATAACAAATGCAATTTAGTTATGCATAGAAAAGATGTTTTACGAGATCAATTCATGTTTCAGGCTATTGCACTAAATGGCACTAACAAGACCATCGATATCAGCATCAAAGAAAAATCGTCTTGGAAGATTAAGAATACTGTCCTTGACCGATCTCAACTCAGCCAAGATATGAAACAACTTTGTCTGACATCCCCCATTTACAAGATATGGAGGACTGCTGGTCAAGTCTACGTCAAAGGACTAAAAAGACAAGGTATTTTACTTATCAGTGCCCGTTGAGCTGGGTATTACGCAGGCGCGTAGCCTCCTTTACGTCCTTTACACTAGTGGCAAGGAAATATTAAAACTTTCGCTATTTTTTTATATAATTGTCTTTGCTTGCTTTCTCGCACCAAGGCTTCGTTATGAAAAAGAACCTTAGCTTCACATTTAAATAAAACGATCCAAACAACATTGTGTCTGCATATGCAGACGTACAGGGACAGCAAAATTTATCAAAAAATCACATAAATTTGATGCCTTTTATATGCTCCCGATGTCCCTCAAAACGCTGGAAATCAAAATCCCCTAATACTCCCCAATCCAAAATATTTGTCGGGGGCACTAAAATGGGCGTACCAGGGCGAAGGGACTCCCTCCTACGTACGTACTAGCCAAAACGTCCACGCTACGCGCCTGTTATGTGTTCACGAGTAAGAAGCAGTTGATGTGTGCTCGAGGACGACTAATTTAGTATACGAATATATGCTTCTATATTTTCCTCTATTATAACTATTTGAAAATTCAATTACACTATATACACCCTAGTTTACATTTCCGTTCATTACCATATCATTAGCATAATTATATGCTTTAAACTAACTATCAGTAAATCAGCACTGAATATTGAAACAATATGGCACAATAAGCTTTCCACGCAATTTTGAGCTTCCCATGAGAAATACTTTTTGCGTCAAACGGTTTTAAAAACTCCAATTTTTAGAGAGATTACGAGTTAGTGCTTTTGCCACTCAGCACCTAATATCTCATAAACTATTTGTCAGTATGTAAAGACCTCAAACTTTCGTAGTTTATAGTTCTTAATAAGCCGTTTTACGTTATGAACTTATTTTATTTTATTTTTTAATTTAAACTTTATGCTAATTACCAAAATTTTGTAAACAAAGATATTACTATTCAATATAACAACGAATATCGTAAACAAGATATTTTGCTTTGTTTCTTGTCAGGACGAAGTCCCGTACGTCAACGGTCTGCCTGTGGTAGTTTGGTGTGTCATCATTATTATAAATGGTATTGTACAGGAATTGTTAACGGCAAATGTGTTTGGGTTAAACTTAAAGTGTATGATTGCCAAAAGGTTGTTTGTTGATGATGTGACGTGGAAATTAACTTTGGGTAAAGGAGTATTTCACTTGCAGACTAAGTATAGCTTATAAAAACATGATTTTATCTTTTAAAAGGTGCGGCATACACGTGGTGCTCGAATTGTTTTCTATGATTTTGTATAAGCTATATGGAATAACAACGAAGTCTCTATATAAATTATATAATAATCAATGCATATATTAAGTAGCTTGGGCTATATGCAAGCAAGTATATCCAACCCTAACTGGTATGTAAGTGCAAAACTATATTAACATAAATTGACTTGCTGCAGCCGGGTGCGATTCAGTCTATTTTGGGAAACAAAACAATATATTGTACAATGCATAATGATGTAATGATATACATTTTATTCAAAAGATTTAATGATATTTACACCTACTTACAAAAACATTTCAAAGTAGAAAACAGACATAGATCAAAATGAAAAGTGTTGAATCTCAGTGAACGTCTTTTGTCATCTATTGACTGAAATGTCAAAGTTCTGTTTACATTAAATACTATTTCCCTATGACAATGTTTTTGCAATTTAGGTGTAAATACCAGCACATAAAATAGAAAAATAATCTAATAATCTTAAAGTGAAACAAAATGTATGCATTATCCAATATATGCAGACATAATTCAACATAACTGTCATGTAAGTCACATACAAAGTCAAAAGCTAATAATATTAAGAATGAATCAATGAGATAATAACAAGAATGAATTGTCCTTTGACTAATGAATTTTAATTTTAATTTACATAAGACAAGACAACTAGCATGTCAGACAGTATGATAAACTGAGTCTGTGTTTCTAATGAACCATTTGCAATAAAGTAATAAACATTATAGAATAAAAGGATTGAAACATCAAATAAATGTCTGTATATGTCAGTAACTTGTTTATAATCCTTTTATGATGTTATCTATCTGTTTATTGCATTTTGTGCAAAATAATTTTCTGCACAATTTAAGCATAAGAGAGGAAAAATGGGGAGAACTAACAATAAATCTCCCCATAAATCATGATATTATAAATTAATATATAAGCAATATAAAAAACTTACTGGTCTGCATATACAACACTCCTTTTCCTAAAGATGGTTATAGAATAAGATATTTATACAATACTGTATATTACATGAAGAGTCCATGTATATAAATAACATGTTCAATAAAACAGGCATTGACGATTTTTTGTTGTCCAATTTTTTGATTTTTGTTTGCTGATGTTGCAAAATATTTTAGAAAAATAGGCTCAACCGAGACAATCGTTGCAGTCAGCGGTATTCACATTCAGAATGGGGGGTTTCAATCTCATACCAAGAGCCAGCGAGAGACTCTGGGGTAATGTGTTATCTCTCGATTCGTGATTGGTTGAAAATGATGCAAGCATGCATTGTTTTCAAGTCTGTCTTACAAGTTGCCAGTGCGTGCTCGCCTTGTTAGTCAAGAAATATTTTTTATCCCATAAACACACTCATGTTTTCACACATTTTTGTATGTAAATACTGTTCCTAAACAAAGTTGTGTACTAAACATTCTTTTTTATCATTTTAATGCTCTAAAAGCAGAACAAAATTGACCTCGTTTGCATAATTTGCGATGGAAAAGAGTTGCAAATCGAAATCTAGTCGATTCCTCCCCTAGAGCCTTTCAATTGTCAGCATACCAACAAGAGAATTACCAAGTGTTTATTTGTCTTGTACTACGATATTTTTAATTTCTAAATTCATATATACACACTGATATTTACAAATAGAAATGTTTAGAAGCTAAGAAGAAAATGTTGCCGATGATTGTAATAGGCCTTGTCTCCTGAAAATCAATAGCATATGAAAATGGATGTAATTCAACCCAGCATTAATCTAAATTGAAGAATATTTCTGTGTGTATAAGTAAAAACAATGCTATCCTCAGGGTAGCACACCAGTTCTTAATTGAAGAGAAATATGTTAAACTACTTACGCCTCCTTAAGGAAAGTCTCTCCACTAATCTTGTCAATGTCAGCACCTGATGGATTTTTATCAAAGCGCTCAACACCAAGAGTGTCCAGGCCTAGCATAAAAGAAAAAAAGGATTATTTTGACAAACAAACAAACATTGCTTTGATAAAAGATTTACACAAAGAGAGAAAAAGCGAAAAAGACTCTGCAGCAAAGTATGACTGACAGAAGTGAAGTGTGGCCATTTGTCAGGTGAGCAAAGAAATCTAACCTTCTTTATATTGTTCAAAAGTGATGAACCCATTTCCTGTGACATCCAGCATTCCAAATAATGATCTAATATTAGTGTCATCAAACAGGCATGGGTATCCTCTTTGAACAGTACGACCAGTTTTGAGTTTTTCCAGGTAATTACACATGTATTCCTTTGGATTTCCTAAAATAAAAAAATCTATGATTATCTAGTTATTCTGAATAAAAAAATTCACAAACAGGTAACACAAAGTTATTTTTATAAAAAGTTAAATGGATCCAAATTCAGTTTCTAAGACCACGGCCTGTTCCCTTCTTTTAGGGAAGATGTTGAGCAAGTATACTTCCCTTACACTTTCCAGGCATGGAAACAAAGGAGTAAATGACATAAAAAGACGTTATTGCAGCTAATAATTCCAAGAATAATCCCTTCGGTCTAGTTGTATAGAGATAAGAAAGATTGCTGACAATAGCTTACAAAAGTAATGAATGCATTGGGCCTCTTTTCCACTATTCTCGAAGCTGTTGTGCCAGCCAGAGACCGACCAGGCCCAGTTGTTCAATATGAATTTTTGATCGAAATGGATTATATGGGTATTTATAAAGAATCGGTCATCGTAAAAAGATATCAACTTATACTTTATCATGTAGCAAGTTAATTTGCGTATTTCTGATTGAATAAACCTTGTAAACTTTACGAGTAAAGCTATATTAAGATTGAACTTAAGGAACCAGATTAAGTAATAGGATAGTAACCGACAAAATGGAAAAACGACAAAATCCCAAATCTGTTTCACCCATCAAAACATTTAATTCCCCGAAAAATCCCATTCCGAAAATGCCTTGAGATCTAACCTGGTCTTTCGTATATCAATTGGGCTGTCAAGTTATCCAAAAGCTCCATAATTTTGTGTCTTTTGAGGTACTGTTTTGCAAGCTCTTCTTTGCCCGCCATTGTCGACGTTATTGATTACCGTTGTCATGACAGCACTTTTGATCAGCGGTCTGTCATTAACACAGGAATCCCAACAATTCTTTATTATTATGTACAAACAGATTCAAGTGTGTAAAGAAATAAAGGATATTTCCAACGGAAAAGAGAAAATAGCAATCCCTTTGAAACTTAATACGGATAATGATCAACAACCAAATGTATTTGAGGTAAGTAATGTGAGAATTTCAGACTTCAAATGAAAGTTTATATGCTTTCAAAAAGAAGTCAAATTTGATTTTATTTGAGTTTAATCTTATATATATTATATGATAAGCTTAAGTTTGATTTCGTTCAGTATATAAAGAGCTGTATTGGTGGTCCAGGTGTAAATCTACCTAAAGAACCATTCTATGAAGGCTGTAAGTGTGGTGATATATGCAATCCCAGTATTTGCCCCTGTATAGCCCAATATGGACCAGCCTATGAATGGAAAAATGACATACTTACCATAAAGGACAGTTTCTTTGAAAAATATGGTGAGTTTTGCCTTGAAATTTCACATTCTAATCTTTAGTTTAAAGATCAGTTCAAAGATAATAAAGACTGACAGTTTCCCATCCATCCATTTACATCCCTCTCTCCCTCTCTCCATCTGTATCCAAAATTTTCGTGGTACAATCAACCCCAACACCTTCCAGCAACTTTTGCCCATTTATTGAAATGTTTGATATGTTTATTTCGAATCATCTATCCACAGGCAGCCCAAGCTCTACATCAGGCTTTTTTTTAACCATTTTTAACCATTTTTCTCGATCAAATTTCAGTAAAATTCAGCCTAATATAGAGCTTGGATAACCTATATGATCCATCTAACTATCTGATTTTGCATAAAGTGCAGACATTCATAGGCAGACAGATAATTTTTATTTGTCTGTCTCTAATCTGCACTCTTCATGTTAAGATAGATGTTTAGATAACAAGACGATCACCTATTACCAAAACTCTACAATTATTTTTATTTCTACGTTTTGTAAATTTCAAAGACTATAAATTACTATAAATTACTTGTATTAAAAAATATACCTTGCTAATACATATTCTAAATTCATTAGGTTTAAGTCAACCAGTCATTGAATGTAATTCGCAATGCTCCTGTTCACACTCCTGTAGCAACAGACTAGTTCAAAATGGTATTATGATGAATCTTGAGGTCTTTTCAGCATCAAACAAAGGCTGGGGATTGCAAACACTCCAAGACATTAAAAAGGGACAATTTGTTTGTGAATATGCTGGTGAAATTATCTCTTTAAAAGAAGCAAAGAGGAGAACTCAGCAAAAACAAGGGGATCACAACTATATCATAGTCATCAAAGAACACATAAAACATGGACAAACACTTTGCACCCATGTTGATCCAGTATATTATGGCAATGCAGGACGGTTTATCAACCACTCATGTGATCCACTCCTAGTTATGATACCTGTAAGGATAGACTCTTTAATCCCTGTTCTAGCTTTATTTGCTGTAAAAGATATTGCTATGTACACTGAGCTGACATTTGACTATTCTGGTGGTGGTGAAGTGATGCAACAAAACTCTTCAAGTCCTGGAATAAAGAAGAAATGCTCTTGTGGGTCTGTTAATTGTGCAGGTTATCTTCCCTTTGATTCAACACTCTTTTGAATTGAGAATTGGTGGTAATTTTATATATTGATTGATATGAATATAGTCAGCTCTTGAGAAGGGGGATCTAAATTGTTTATTGAAGTATTCGAATTTACTCTCAGCAACAGATCTCAATACACCTTTTCAGTTGCTCTTAGGCTGCGACAGCGTGTTAAATATTTTTTTGAATTTGTAGGAATGTGAGCAATGCAAACATTGATATGAATAGTCTTATTTGTCAAATTCAAAAGAATAATTAACTTGCTATCGGGTTATCGAGGCCTAAGTGCAACTGAAAAGGTGTATTGCATCACATAACAAGAGAGGATCACCAAGGCTGACCTGTTTGGGAATCATTTTAGCATTATTGGATAAATATGAAAATCTCATTTCAAGTATTAAAAATTATTTGAATTACAATACTCTAATACTTTGAATGCCAGCTGAGCTCCTGAATGTTTTCCTAAACATTCTTCATTAATAGAATTGTCAAAATTCAATACACCATTATGCATTGTTTTTAAAAATCTTTTTTATGTGGTGCAGATAGAATAACCATATTAGGGCAATGAGAGAAAGCTCTAAATGATGTCATTTTTTACTATCTTTGTACTTAATGTTTACTTTAAATAAACGTTTGATAAACAATGTGTTTATTAGGATGCAGATCTGACCAAATTTAGTTAGCCGGGATTGATCTTGCAGTTGTTGTCATTTTCTATTTTTATAAATACGTAAGCTCTAAGTGTGTCATACTCACCCTGTCCCCCATAGGATACGAAAATATTCCTACTCCCGGTTTTCGCGTGACTGCTGCCTAATTCTTGTTATTTGGAGTTAAAACGTCCTTGTGAAATCACTTTTAAATAAATATATGACCTTTGCTAAGTATCATCGCTAAAAATCTGAAAATCCAGTTGTAGAGAATGTCGAAATCATAGCGATCATAGCTGTGTTTTACTGGGCTCCCTTTGTTACTGTGTAAAGGTCAGCTTCGTTGTTTTTCACAACATATAGGTGACTGAATGTTGTGATTGTAGTAGTTAGTTGTAGTAGCTTCTTTCCATTCAAAATCTTGGATATACAAACTGTTTGATTGTTAGTTTATTGTCAACGATAAATAAGTGGTCATCTTCCATCGAAGAACGATTAGAATTAAGGTAAGCTTAAGTTTAAGTTAGAAGTTAGAACGTTGGATTCGAAAATTTAAGTTACGTTCCGTGATAGTTTGATGTGACCCTCTTTAACCTTTCCATTTATATGAAAACCATTATTTTATATTGGTGTTGAAAAGCGAGGATTGCAAGCTCAGCTCAAATAGAGGAAGTGATGTAATGTTTGACGTTCAATTTCAAAGCGGCTTTCGATAAAATGCTACTCGAGCCACATGGGCCTTATTCCGCAAATAGACATCGACCCGCGAACGTCTCAGCTCTTAAAGCAAGCAATATAGCCTTAAGGTTTACAAACAAATATATTTATTGTTTTAGTTTAGGCCATGGACGGCCCTTATAGAAAGACCGACGAAGATCTATCAGCGATCGAAAATGGAGGTCTAGGTCCCCCACCAGCTTACGACAGCCTTTCTAATGGCGGGGTGGACAATCTTGGAGTACGCTTCGCTCCAAGTGATGCCATTCAACAACCTGAAACTAAAACTGCAGAGCCTGTTGAAGACGATGATCCGAAAAAGTAAGAGTTATAAATTTTTTTCATATCAGGTGGTTGGTCAACTGTAACATTTTTAAGCGAAGCTTTTAAACAAATAGACTGCTCGAATATAGTCCGTTCAACAGTAGTTACCCAAACAAATATGATCTTATTAATCCAGCTCAAAAATGGGAATAGACAATACAGTAAACAAGGTTCTTGAAGCGAAAATTGCTACTGTTATTAATTTATTAATTATTTGCAACAAAAATGTATTGTTTAAGATCAATTATATTCTAATGAATCATGTAGCATTGGAATATCGTTTTGGGATTTTTGCGAGGGGAGGGGGATTGGAGTGGTGGTGGGAATGAACCTCCATAGTCCGAAGTTGTATGGTGAAGAAGAGCCAGATGTGAAAAAAGTCGTGAATAAATTAATTTTGCATGTCTCAGTGCTCGCACCCAATTTTACTCATACTTTCTTACAACTAAGCTGATATTTTTTTCTTAATTATTTTATGAAGAAAGAAAAAGGAGGAGAAAGAAAAGCCTCCAATGGCCCCATTCTCAAAACTTGTAAGTAAAAAATAAATGATGCAACTTAAAATCAAAGATTGTTTTTTTTTATATTGATATTCCACTTTGTTTTCTATAGTTCCAATTTTCTGACTCTAAAGACAAGATTCTGATCTTCCTTGGCATTGTAGGAGCCATTCTTCATGGTGCTGCTACACCAGTTCAGTTTATTATTTTTGGAAGACTTATTGACAGCATGCTTGATTTTGAAAAGCTTCTATCTACTTCAGGAAAACTAGAGAGCATGATGACAGACTTAGCATTGTATTATGTATATCTGGCCATTGGTACTCTGATCGTTTCGTACCTTCAGATGGGTATGTTTTCATGGTCAGCTGCAAGACAAACAAAGAAAATGCGTGTAGCATTTTTCCAAGCTGTGATGCGTCAGGATATCGGATGGTTTGACACGTATGAAGCTGGAGAGTTGAATAACCGGTTGACAGAGTAAGTACTCTGATTCAGCAAAAATGGCTGATGTTTCAGTTGTTATATATTTTTTAATGTCATTTTATTATGGACAGTGATATCAATAAAGTGGCTGAAGGGCTTGGAGGCAAAGTTGGGATTGCTATCCAGTTTGTCACAACCTTCTTTGCTGGTTTTGGCATTGGCTTTGGGTTTAGTTGGAAACTAACTTTGGTTATCTTGTCGCTAGTCCCTTTGCAGATCATTGCAGGGGGAATTATTGCAAAGGTAATTTTGAAGATCAATTTGTGTGCTAGATTACACTATAATTATTTCTCTTCTTAGCATTCTTTGACATGTGACAAATAATGAATTTGCAAAGAGATCCAGAATCCAGTTTGTTTGTAATCCAAGACAGGTGAACAAAACACTTGAGAGGCAATGCAAGACAACATTCATTGGCTGCATGCTTGAAAGATGTGAATAAACCTAAATGACTAAAGAAAAACAAGTTTTTTATATTGTCCATGAGGTCCTCTATACTTCTAGTTTTTTTAGATTAAGACAATGAAAACCTGAAATATATTCACTTCTTCATATTTTCAATTTTAACTGAATAAACATTAATTTAATATAATTTCTGTCAAACTTGACAGTTCATTTCTACTAAGAAGACATTCTGAATCCAAATACTATGCCTGATAATTATATTGAATACTTGAAAAAGAAATTGAGAAGGAGAAAAAGCAAACATTTCATTGATAGTGCAGCAAGCAATATGAATTTATCATACAATTAAAGCAATCTCCAAGTTACAAATGACACGATTGCTTGCATGAAAATTACACAATAATAAAAGTTTTGCAATAGGCTATTAACAGTATGAGACAAATTAACTTTACTTGTTTTGTAAGATTTTCTTTTGTAAGATTTTCTAAGAGATATAATATTGTCATGACATAATTCTTGTAATCTTATACATGTGTATAGGTGATAACAGTTTTCACAACAAAAGAGCTTGATGCCTATGCTAAGGCAGGTGCAATCGCTGAAGAAGTTTTATCTTCAATCAAAACAGTAGCAGCCTTCGGAGGGGAAAACAAAGAAAGCGAGAGGCAAGTCTTTTGTAACTGGACATGTTATCCTCCCAGCGTTACTTGACTGACAGATTGTTGTGTATAATCTATTAATTAGGTATTCGGGTAATCTCCATGAAGCTCAAGCATATGGTATAAAGAAAGGGCTAACTATGGGACTTGGCTTTGGATTTTTTCAGCTCATCATGTTTGGCAGTTATGCCTTGGCATTTTGGTAATAAGATAACTAGCTATTAAACTAGTGTGTGCTACGTCAGAGTGTTTAATTAAACACTTGTTGATTAAAGGATGAGTTTTATAGCACAAACAAAGTTAATAGACTTACTTTCTTCTCTATATTTCTTAAAGGTATGGCTCTACACTAGTTTTGGACAATGACCTAACTGGAGGCAATCTTCTTTTGGTAAGAAGTAAAATGTAATCGACAGTGCTGATAGTCTGGCTGCCTGCTTGCAAGCAGCATTAAGAATGCAGTACTAACAGCATCTTATCTCTTCATTTTAGGTGTTTTTCTCTGTCTTAGTGGGTGCTACCCAACTCGGTCAGGCAGGGCCAAATGTTGAAGCAATATCAACAGCTAGAGGAGCAGCTTATGAATTATTCAAAATTATAGATCGTGAACCACCAATTGATGTCAGCTCAGTAGAAGGAGATAAACCAACTGATGTTTCTGGTAACATTGAATTCAAGGATGTTCACTTTAGCTATCCATCAAGAGATGATGTTAAGGTGATTAATCCCTTTATTAATGTCATCATTATCATCAAAAAGTATCATCATCATCATTAATATAATCATTGACTATATATACACTAATTATCATCATCAGCAGCACTTTGCCATCATTATATCATTGGCATATATAATGTATAATGAAATAGTAAAATTATTTGATTGTAAATGTTTTCCATTAACAGGTTCTGAATGGTCTCAACCTTGAAATCAGTGCTGGACAGACTGTTGCTCTTGTTGGTGAAAGTGGATGTGGTAAAAGTACTACTATCAAACTCATTCAGAGGTTCTACGATCCTCAGAGTGGAGAGGTAGGTTTTTGCTTACAATCCACTTCCTAGCAGCTATTCCTTCTGAATAGTAGCACCAAGAAATGAAGTTAATAAACTTATTAGTAACAGTTTTTGACTGATTTAATAATCTTTGATTCAAGGTTTCAATAGACAACAGAAATGTCAATTCATGGAATGTTAGCTGGTTGAGACGATTTATTGGTGTTGTCAGCCAAGAGCCAGTCTTGTTTGCTACTACAATTGCTGAAAACATTCGTTATGGACAAGATGGGATCAGCCAGGAAGACATTGAAAAAGCTACCAAAATGTCTAACGCTCATGACTTTRTCCAGAAGCTTCCTAATGTAAGTCAATATAATACCATGCAAGTAGCCAGAAAATGACWTCAAATGTAATGTTGCTTCTTTACTTAGGGTTACGAAACACTTGTTGGAGAGCGAGGTGCTCAACTCAGTGGTGGCCAAAAGCAACGTATTGCAATTGCACGTGCTCTGGTGCGCAATCCTAAAATACTTTTGCTGGACGAAGCAACATCTGCATTGGATACTGAGAGTGAATCTTTAGTCCAGGCAGCGCTAGAGAGGGTGAGAGATTGACAATTACAATTATTTTGAATATTTGCATCTGCATGTACGATGGGATTTAATGATCGATGAAACGATAGCCCAAACTTTAATTTAATTTGAATTTCCTGTCTTGAAGACAATCAGTTTTATCACTATACCATTGATATTGCAGGCCAGTGAAGGTCGCACTACTATCATCATTGCGCATCGTTTGTCGACTGTCAAAAATGCAGATATGATTGCTGCCTTTGAAGATGGTGTTATAGCAGAACTGGGCTCTCACAGTGAACTCATAGCTCATGATGGGGTCTACAAGCAGCTTGTCATGTTACAGGTAGCTTATTGCGTATTATCTGTGTACAAGAATATCTGAAATAGGAGCTGATGGCCTTAATGCAACCACTTGATATTAAACTTAAAGTGATTTGTTTGTATTCTGTTGTAGACATTTGAAAGTGAGGAGGATCAAGGAACAGGCAATAAAGCTAATGTTGACCTATCAGATGTACATGCAAAAGGTATATTTGCATAGTCTAGCCAAACCAAGAATTTCTTTCGTCATTCGTTAAATTTTTTATCCTTCTTATTTAGAGTCTAATGGTTCTGTTGCCTTTGCACGAAGTGTATCAGTTTTGTCTAGTGGAAGTGAAGGTGAAAATGAGGCTATCAAAAGGAAACTTTCAATACGTGCTTCACAACGAAAACATTCTGTCAAAAAAAGGGACAGCCAGGTATTAGTGCTAATGCATTATTCACGATGTGTTTTATAATTTAGGCTAAATCCCTGCATAGCGCGTCCATTTAGATAATCTCGCTAAGTCCCTAATCATTCCCCGTATTCCCCAGGTAGTTAGGTGTGGTGCATTCTACTGACTAGTGCATTACAGGGGCGGATCCAGCATTTTATCAGGGGGGGGGATGGTATATTGAGTAATATATGGAACTGATCATTATTGTCTAGAGCAAGAAATTATGCACAATTTGACCCAACGTTTAAGGTTAGTCAGAAAAGTCAATAAAGTTTGTTTGGCGCGTGTTTTGATATCGCACGCTCTTTTCTTTGTGAAGAAATTGACAAGAGCTCATAACAATTTGAGCAAATATTACTCTCACCTTACTAGCCCTTGAAAATCTCGTTTTAATAATTGCTTGCTGCCTGGTTGCATAACAGGAGTATAAACAGCAGAAAACAACGTTTATACTGATATATTAAAAAATACGTCGTAAAAAAAAAGGGGGGGGGGGGTGCGTCCGCACCCAAAGCACCTCTTGGATCCGCCCCTGTATTATTGGGTTGTTGGTAATACGTCTATCAGTTGGTGGATATGACATCAGTTGGAGGAAAATTTCTGATCCAGGATATTATTCCCATGTGTCACTAATCTAGATTGATAAAAAGAGTAAAGACAAAGTTGTTGAAGAAAAAGTCCAACCTGCTCCAATATTACGTATCATGAAACTTAACAATCCAGAGTGGCCATTTATGGTTGTGGGTACCATTGCAGCCATGGGAAATGGAGTGTTTCCTCTTGTGTTTGCATTGATTCTTGGTGAAATGCTCAATGTAAGTGAGCCAGAAATGTTATTTTAGTATGATACTTGTTTGTGCTTGAGCACTTGTGCTTGTGTCTATGCTTGTGCTGTGTGATACAATGATAACTAGACAAATTAAGTACCATTAATCTTCCTGCAAATCAGGTCTTCACAAAGGTGAATAATCCAGATGAATTTAAGAAAGAGTCTGTCTTCTGGTCACTGATGTTCCTTGCATTTGGAGGGTTTTCCTTCTTCACTCAACTTTTGCAGGTTTGTCTAAAATGGTTTAAATTTTCTCAAATGCTTTAACAAAAAAATAAATAATTGCTTGATTATTTTATTAGAACTATATGTTTGCTATATCTGGAGAAACGCTGACTACGAGACTAAGGCAGAGTTCATTCAAGTGTCTCCTCAAACAGGTGATGTCGTAATATCGTGCTATGAACATCCTGTATTTTTGAATTGCATATATAAACTTGATATGCCTTTATACGACAGGAAATGGCATTTTTTGATGATCCTCTTCACAGTACGGGAGCTCTAACTACAGCACTGGCAACCCATGCATCTGATGTCAAAGGGGTAGGTGTTTTGAGAGTATTAGAAATAGAGAACACTTCTATTCATTTAGGAAAATGCTGGAGTCTTTTAGTAAAAGACACGTGATGGATATGCCTTTTGTCTGCAAATACCGCCACTTCCCAACTGCTCCAGCACAGATTTAGATGTGGCTTTATCGTCAATGTATATAGTAGTAAAGAACATTTGTTTTTCTAGGCTACTGGAGCAAGACTTGGTACCATTGCCATGACAATTACTACCGTTATAGGGTCGCTCGTCTACTCGTTCGTTAACGGATGGAAGCTGACTTTTGTGGTTGTTGCTTTTGTCCCGTTTATTGTAATAGCTGGCATTTTGCAAATAAAGACATTTGCTGGTGACAACAAAGAAAACTCGGATGTAATGGAAGCTGGGCAGGTATGGGATTCCTGTTTAGTTACAAATGCAATAATTGCGAGCTCACACAATGTTATCCATAAGCTACATATTCTTTGTACGTCGAATTTCGTACCACTAGCATTTCAAGTAATAAATTTCGTTCGCTATATTCCAGGTTGCTGTGGAAGCTTTTGATAACATCAGAACAATAGCAACACTTGGACGAGAGGAAACATTCTGCCAGAAATTTATTTCTAAGCTCCAACTGCCATACAGGTTTGGGAAATTAATATTTTGTCCTGCAAAGAGTTTTTGTAAACATTACAAGTTATAGTTAGAGAATATAAAGAAATAATTTAGTCCACAAAATTTTCGACTGAAAACCTCAGTTTTCATCACGAAACAAAATTCCTGGAATGTTAATCGAAGGATCTTGGATATTTTCCAGGAAAGCTGTGCGCTCTGCTCATGTCAATGGTATCTGTTATGGATTCATGGAAGCCATCATGTTCTGCTGTAATGCTGCATCATTTCGGTTTGGTGCTTATTTGATGGTTCAAAGAGAAATGAATATCATGGAAGTAATGAAGTGAGTGTCTTTTCCTGTTAATAAGCAATTAGACGTATTTGCTAGACTTGGAGTAGTGTCCTTCGCAGCCTCACCTTTTGCCGGGATTCCTGTGTAGGGTTGTGACTGGATTTCTCTCTTCCGATAAAAGAGAAGGCTACGAAGGAGACTTTGAGTCTCCAAGTCGGACGACACGACATTTTTGCTACAGTGTGACCGCCTTATTTTAATGTTTATATATGGTGTTGAATGAAACCAAGAATTTATTTGATGATCGAACGTTGGGTCGCCTGAGTAGCCCAGCTTGAACAATGTATATTATGGTTTTTGGTATTTTTCGTTTCCAAAATAAATTTACAATTCTGTTTATTATCTCCTTTGCATTGAAGTGAGCTTTTGTGGGACTTTGCGTTTGAACTGGACAGTACCTCAAACCAGGGATAATTTTCGGGGAAGATTTAATTGTGAAAATACACTTTAACTGTATTCCGTCTTATCAGGGTTGTGATGTGTATTGTCATCGCTGGTATGATGTTTGGTCATATTACGGGATTCTCGCCTGACTATGTCAAAGCCAAAATAGCTGCAGCAAGAATCTTTAAGCTGTTTGATCGCGTTTCCCTTATCGACAGCTCTTCCACTGATGGAACTAAACCAGTAAGTACAACCCTGTTACTCCGACCTTTCCGTATTAGTGGGTTCTTGTTATGAACTATAAGCAAACCCGATACGTCGACCAGTCGGCATAACTGAGTTCTTGTAATTCACTGTAAACACTGACCCGATACTACGACCAGTTCGTAAAAGGCTATTCTAATTCACTAATACGCGTCCAGAGCGGATTGCATTTCGGGGCGTGAAGGTGAATTATTTGCATTAAATAATTCATTATTCCCGCCTATTTTTTTTCGTAATTCATTATTGCATTGTGTTTCTGGAGTCATCAGAGATATTTGAATAAATTTTAACGATTTCATAATTTCATCTTTATTCAGGGCGTCGTTCAAGGCACTGTCCAGCTACGTAATGTGCGATTTCGTTATCCTTCTCGACAAGATGTGAAAGTTCTTCGTGGTGTGAACCTGTCAATCAAAACTGGACAGACACTCGCCTTGGTGGGGTCTAGTGGGTGTGGTAAAAGTACTATAGTWTCTCTGTTAGAGAGATTCTACGATGCTGAGTCCGGTGAGGTGGTAAGTTGAAATATTTCTAAGAATKWACGTGGTTTAGAAAAGATCTTATATATTATCGAGTTTCCTCATTCACCAATCGTTGTCTTTTTTGCAGGCTTTAGACGGCAACGATGTCAAAAATCTCAACATCCAATGGCTTCGTTCTAAATTGAGTATTGTTTCACAAGAGCCAGTCTTGTTTGGTTTCAGCATAGCAGAGAATATAGCTTATGGTGATAATAGTCGACAAGTYAGTAAGGATGAAATAGAAGCTGCTGCCAAATCAGCCAACATCCACAGTTTTATCAACTCTCTGCCCAAAGTGAGTTGATTACAGCTCTACTATTGAACGATTGGTTTGCTAACAGCAAGCTGTTTGTTTATTGACTGGTCTTTTGTATTTCAGGGATAGCAAGCTGTTTGTTTATTGACTGGTCTTTGTGTATTTCAGGGATACGAAACTTTGGTAGGAGACAAAGGCACCTTGATATCTGGTGGTCAAAAACAACGAATCGCTATCGCCAGAGCTCTCATTAGAAACCCTCAGATTCTGCTTCTTGACGAGGCGACGTCAGCTCTTGACACGGAAAGCGAAAGGGTACCGAACGTTGTGTTGATTGATTTTTTTTCCGTTTCTGGCATTGATTCTTTAAAAATGTTGGTTATAACAATATTCAAAGTGACTAATTACAAACGTGTTTTGACAGGTCTATTTGTTAATTGTCAGTTGGAATTACAGGGTGGTAATTAACTGTTTGAATTGCTATCCATTCAGGTTGTACAAGAAGCTCTCGACGCAGCTAGGAGAGGTCGAACAGTCATCATGATTGCACACAGATTATCGACTGTCAAAAATGCAGATATGATAGCTGTCATTCATCATGGACAAGTTGTGGAACAAGGGACACACCAGGAACTCCTTGGTATGAATGGTTACTATGCTGGTCTTGTTTCTGCACAAATGATTAACGAAGAAAACTAAATATTTACACTTATCAGTATAAATAAGGTCGTTTTCCTAGAAATTGTTCGTTTGTCAATCAGTCAAATTGATAAGGTCGGTTTTTGCTCGAGCAATCACAAGCTCCAAGATTTATGCGGTAGATTATCATAATGAAGGATATCTGGAACTAAAAATATAGAGATTCACGCAGAAATGTCGCTAAGCACTACTTTTTAGATGAAAGCAGAGCAAGATTTGAATCCATGAGACGTTTCTAAGAATATTTTGAACTGTAGATTGGTTGTATATACTAGTATGTTATTAATGTATTTTTTGGTAAAGAATATTATTAAGCAATATCATTGTTCGTGACTTATTATGCTGGACATAACAACTCTTTTATAACCTACTGGGGATGAGTTTAGCATATGCACACTTCTATTACTTAGAAGAACTCCATTTTTAGACAAATAGAGTGGGATTTTAAAGAGTGGTTTTCTTAAACCGTGAAACAAAGTGAAATAGTGTGATACACCGAAAAAGACAAGGAAAAAAGGTCAAAATAAAGAGTAGAGAGTGAAGTCAGAAACCCCGTGAAATAGATACTGCACTAGTACATCTTAGTACACTCTAATTGCATTTTCTCTTTGTGTCTACTTGACTATCACACCTTAAGAGTCAGATTTTGTTTCACGGGTTTAATCAATAAATCCGTGAAACAAAATATGACTAAAGCGCACTAAGATGTATTAGTGTTCACCGTGGAATATGATTCAGCCTATTACACTATTTTGTAGATATTTTGATTGTATTTTTGGCGCATCATCACTTTATAAGACTCAGCTTCATGCGAAAATCACCGACTACTAATAGTCATAGCAGGTGATAAACTCAAGATTTTACAGTATTAAAATTCAGAAATAGATACCTACAAGGATATGATGTAGAATATCTTAATCCAGTCAGATTGCGGCTGAGCAAAACCATTGTGAAGCACCATGTATTTAATTTTTTTGTACATTCAAAACTATTTAACAGCAAATACATTTTAGTTGTTATAAGTATTGCAATAGTGTCTTTTTATAAACTTGTAAAATAGAATGAGTTTACATTTAACCCGTGAAACAAGATAATACTGACTAGACTAGTCGATTCGTTTCCTAATGCGTGAACCTGATTATTACACTGATGCTCTTGTTTCATGGGTTTATGAAAAGCTACCAGCTCTAAAACTATAGCTTAAAATAGCTAATCGAGTTCATTTTAACTTCCAAAAATGTTGTGTTCGATACGTATAGAGTATACCGAGTATATATTTCTTATATTATATATCATTAAAATTAAAAGAAATACTACATACCTTGTGCATAATATGTTCTTGTTTAAAGACAGTCTTTGTCACTATCTATACTGGAGATACGGGCATCCGACTAGGTGGGCGACGACCCGGCAGCTGGGAGGCTCAACGGGTTTTAAAAAATCTGCGTGATCTGGTATCTTGAAGGGGTATCTGAATTTGATTTTAACTGGTACCTTCTTTCTGAACTAACGTTATGCCCTCCCGTCAGACTCGGAGTATTACCAAAATGTCAAACACCCATCGATTCCTTTCACTGCCTGAACTCCAAGAAACACTAAAGATATTCATCGTTTGATTGGCGTTGGCAGATGTGTAGCGATAGTCACAGCGATCGCGAACAGCATGCAAAGAACTCAAAGTTTTAGTTGAAATACATTCCAATGTGGTGGGCATTCATGACCGTTTTTATACCTGATGCCCGAAGGGTCGGTAAGTTTCTAGGTGACGGACCGAGAGTTACATAATGCTGTACTGGAAACCTCAACACGATCCCGGCTGTTCAATCAAAGCCTTAAATTAACCAGTTTCAACAAGACACCAACATTAACCACAAGAATCATATCCTTGTTATCCCAGAAAACCAGAAAATTCTTAAAATTGTAACTTCGGCGCTGTAAGTAATGGTTAACCCAGGATTAGCACTGACAGACCTTTGAATGTTCACAACCAGGAAAGGGGAGAGAGGCCTGAAAGAAAGATGGCCGAGTGCAGTCTGTTGTCGAGAACTCTTTATATACTTTACACGTGTTTTGTTCAGTCACTTTTATTGGCAATATTAAAACACATGCTTAATAAATAAACATCTCAGAATGGAAAACCAATCACTAGTCAGCGACGCCATTTTGTAGAACAAATGGGATATATCACGAGATTTTGAGAATTTCTCGCAATAAATATCCACAAAATTAGTTTTTTTTGTTCTCTTTACAAGAAAACTTGTATGATTGCGAAGAAAACACATCAATGAAACGGACAAAAAGTACGACAGCACTTAATCACCTTTGGTCGAAAAATGGCGTCGTTTCACACTTTCTATGAATACTATGATTTAATTCACACAGAAAAATATTCAACTATTAAATATCTTTCAATATAAATAACCAGTACATCAATATTAAACAGAGAATTTTACAAACGTCAGTGAATGTTAAATAGAGCGTTTCATATGATAGATTTGATAGAGCACCAGGCCGTACTCAATCTCGCGGTCTTTTTATTTGAGTACCCACCAAACTATAGGACACATTTGGGAAAATATAGAAAACAGCTTTTCTGAACTTTTCCCTGCCTTTTCCTGCTTTTCTCCATGCCACCATGGGCTAACATGAATAGACTATTGTTCAGTAGCCAATCAGAATGCTGGATTTATGATGATCCATATTAGTCTGGTAGATACTAAATAGTAATGCACTCGACCTCGTGCTTTAATCCTTAAATATCCCACCCTCTATAGTCTCTATTCCGAGTGGAGTAATATTTAAAATACATTATTCAGATTGACTATACACGATATTATTGTTTGAAAATCCATTTTCCAATGAATAAATAATAAAAAAATCTCTAGTCATGTTAACCAAAACACAGAAATGGGAACATGAAAGGACTTTTGTATATACAGCAATTTCAAAACGTTTGTCGGAGAGAAAAATGCGGATGCACGACCGAAAGTCCCTATGGGTATTTACTACATTATATTCACTCTGAACAAACTAAAACAGCAAACTCTGCCCTACAACGAGGCAAAAATACTACACACTATGGGACCATATGGAAGCTGGCCTCAATTTAGTGAACACCTGACTGTTAAAATCAGTGGCTATGAGTATACAAAATATAAATTAATTAATAAATACGTAAGAAAATATATGGTTACTATAGAGTAAAAATGTTCAAATCGTGAAAACAAAAGCTAGTAGTATTGTATACTGCAATAATAAATATTCAGTTTTCTTCGTTGATCATTTGTGCAGAAACAAGACCAGCATAGTAACCATTCATACCAAGGAGTTCCTGGTGTGTCCCTTGTTCCACAACTTGTCCATGATGAATGACAGCTATCATATCTGCATTTTTGACAGTCGATAATCTGTGTGCAATCATGATTACTGTACGACCTTTACTGGCAGAATCGAGGGCTTCTTGCACGGCCTGAATATCAGAATGTTACAAACAGGTCAACGACCAATAATAAAGTCTTTGAATACTCTAAAGGTCTACAGTCTTCAAAGAATGTAATATTATTGATACCAAAAATGTTTCACAGAAGATTGGAACCCAAGCTTAGTTAGTACGATAAGCCACCGGCACCAACCCTTGAGTTAGTTATATAACAGATAGCTTATGGCATGGAAAGAGGGAGGGAGGAAGGGGGGATTTGCTGAAGTCAACCACACTATTCAATATAGCGTTATCCCATCCCCACTTTGTTTGAACAGCATCCTTTAACACCCATATCCTGTCAGACTGTTCTGCGACGGAAATATATTTTTTTTGGCAGAGCGTAATTTCAGTATAACACACTGAACATTGAGAGAAACTATGATAACATCATCAATCAATCAACACAACGTTGTACCCTTTCGCTTTCCGTGTCAAGAGCTGACGTCGCCTCGTCAAGAAGCAGAATCTGAGGGTTTCTAATGAGAGCTCTGGCGATAGCGATTCGTTGTTTTTGACCACCAGATATCAAGGTGCCTTTGTCTCCTACCAAAGTTTCGTATCCCTGAAATACACAAAGACCAGTCAATAAACAAACAGCTTGCTATCCCTGAAATACAAAAGACCAGTCAATAAACAAACAGCTTGCTGTTAGCAAACCAATCGTTCAATAGTAGAGCTGTAATCAACTCACTTTGGGCAGAGAGTTGATAAAACTGTGGATGTTGGCTGATTTGGCAGCAGCTTCTATTTCATCCTTACTRACTTGTCGACTATTATCACCATAAGCTATATTCTCTGCTATGCTGAAACCAAACAAGACTGGCTCTTGTGAAACAATACTCAATTTAGAACGAAGCCATTGGATGTTGAGATTTTTGACATCGTTGCCGTCTAAAGCCTGCAAAAAAGACAACGATTGGTGAATGAGGAAACTCGATAATATATAAGATCTTTTCTAAACCACGTWMATTCTTAGAAATATTTCAACTTACCACCTCACCGGACTCAGCATCGTAGAATCTCTCTAACAGAGAWACTATAGTACTTTTACCACACCCACTAGACCCCACCAAGGCGAGTGTCTGTCCAGTTTTGATTGACAGGTCCACACCACGAAGAACCTGCACATCTTTTCGGAACGGGTAATGAAAATGTACATTACGTAGCTGTATGGTGCCTTGAACAATGGACTACATGGTGAATGAAAAAAATCACATAAATATACCGTGAAATAACCAACAAACCATAATTAATGGAGGGGAATGGTTTGGAAACCTTTGTTGTACTTCTTTTGTACATCTTTGGTATGTATTTGGAGGTTGAATCAGTCAAGGACGTGTACAACGTTTTTCTTACGGACCTGTTACGTATCTATAACAGTACGGACCAGTAGTACGGCAAGGTCGTAGTATTGGGTTGCTCATAATAAATCATAAGAACCCAGTAATGCGGTCAAGTCGCAGTATCGGGGTTGCTCATAATGAATCAAAAGAACCCAGTAATGCGGTCAGGTCGCACTATCGGGGTTGCTCATAATGAATCATAAGAACCCAGTAATACGGTCAGGTCGCAGCATCAGGGTTGCTCATAATGAATCATCTACAACAACTGTTTTTCGCCCTTGCTAGTGGAAGTCATACTTACTGGATTAGTTCCTTCAGTGGAAGAGCTGTCGATTAGAGAAACGCGATCAAACAGCTTAAAGATTCTCGCTGCGGCTAATTTAGCCTTCATGTAATCCAAAGAGAATCCTGACATCTCACCAAACATCATTCCAGCAATGATAATACACATCACAACCCTGAAGGAAAAAAAGAGGGCTTCGTGAATACGATCAAAATGGGGTTGAAACGCATCATAGAAACAAGACAACAATACTCATCAGTTTGAGATTGCCATTTGGAGAAGAAAATGAATCGTGACATCTTATTAGAACCATTTCATAAACATATTTTTAGCTCCCATTCTCTTATCCTTGTTCTTATGTCGTCAAATTATAAGTGTTAAAAGGCGCAACATAAGCATACACTGCTTCAGAGTTCGTGTAAAATTTCAAATTTTACAAAATTCCAGGACTCTTCAAGTGCTTTTTAAGCACAAAAATGCGATTTGCAAGGACAATTCTCTGAAGATATATTTTAATGTTTGCGAATGTTTCCAGTGTCGATTTTAAAAAATAGCCACATTTCAACCCAAACGGCAAAAGCAACATCAATTTTTCAGATTCAAAGAGTTTTCCAGGAGTTTTAGCGATTAAACGAGTTTTCAATTCCAGGACTTTACAAGGATTTCAAAGGGTAGCGCGAACCCAGTGCTTGTTATGTCAAGTGTGAACAACCTTTTACTTCTGCTTATTTAGTGTATAAACAAGGGTTGATGACTTACTTCATAACCTCCATCATACTCATTTCTTTTTCAACCATTAAATAAGCACCAAACCGGAATGATGCAGCCATGCAACAAAACATAGCGGCTTCCATGAAACCATAGCTGATACCATTGATGTGGGCTGACCTGACAGCTTTCCTGGAAAACATGGTGCACGTTTTAATGACAAAACAAATGTAGGCAAAGTTATCGTTGGATCTCGTATATTTTAAATTTGTGTAGACTGATCCAAACACGATATAATAAATGTAAATTTGATTAACATAAAAATCATGTAAAAATATATATGCTGAATTATAAATACAACAAGCCTCAAGTTGAAATGAAATGAACTGTTTTTTTCGGGTTTGACTCTGCTATGATTTTCACATAAGAAACTCGACGTCTTACTTGTATGATGGATTCAGTAGTGATGCAAACTTTTCACAGAATGTTTCTTCCCGTCCCAGTGTTGCTATTGTTCTGATGTTCTCAAATGCCTCCACTGCAACCTACAAGAATACCCCGTATATACGTGCAAGTTAGATTCAATTCCACGTTACGGTTTGTGTATTCAACAAAACTTTGAATCAATTAAGAAACGAAAAAGCAAAGAAAAAATATTGCGTAAGGGAAAAAAAGGAAAGAAAAAACACAAATAAGAGAAAGCATGAGAGCAACAAAACTGAATTCCAAGAGGAAGAAGCCAGGTAAGCGAGGCAGAAAAAAATGAGAATGGAAATTAAAAGGAAGAGATAAAAACTGAAAGGATAAAGATACCAAAGGAAGAAAGAACTGAAGCAAAAGAAAAGGAAAGAAAAGAATCCAATCAGAAGTAGCAATGGAGGCACCAAAAAGACAAAAAAAAAAAATGAATGGATGAAATTCGCACCTTTCCAGCGTCAATCAATTCGGTATTCTCTTTGTGGTCGCCATTCATTAACTTCATTTGTAAAAGTGTAGAAACAGCAAGCAAGGGAATGAATGCAAGAACCACAAAAGACAACTTCCATCCGTTTACAAACGAGTACACCAGGGATCCTATGATAGTGGTAACTGTCATGGAAATGGTACCAAGTCTGGAACCAGTTGCCTGGAATGCGAATCAGTTTCTAATTTAGAGTCCAATTTTGATAATGATGACTTCCCATCATCGTAACTTTCACTATTTTTTTGTATTCCTGTGATGGTTGTTGGTAAACTCTGAGCAGTGAATATTCTCTTTTGAAGCCTTCTCAGTCTAAGTTGTTGGTTAAAAAGTCATTTTTTTTTAAATTATGATTGTTTCTAAAAACTTACCCCTTTGACATCAGATGCATGGGTTGCTAATGCTGTAGTTAGAGCTCCCGTACTGTGAAGTGGATCATCAAAAAATGCCATTTCCTGTCATATAAAGGCATATTAAGTATACAATCCAAGCACCAATCGATAGCAACAACAAAAATGAAGTATTTGGTCACCTGTTTCAGTAAACACTTGAATGCTGTTTGCCGTACTCTTGTGGTAAGCAGTTCTCCAGACTTTCCAAACATATAATACTATCATAATGAGAAAGAAAAACGCGAAATTTGTAGATTTTTCATGACTTATTGAAAAAACATGAACGAGGCGTTCACAAGAGACATGAAAGTGGAGTTTAGGGGGGGGGGGGGGGGGATGAGGGGGCGACTCCAGGGTAAAAGTACCGGGAATGCTCGTCAGAAATTTTCAAAAAGACCCCAGAAAAAAGGGCGTGGCTGACTGATTTTTAACCCCTAAAAGATTGCAAAGCAAATATTGTTCAATTAAATCAGTTCAAATGATAAAAACGTAGAAGAAAATCAATATCGATGAGCTCTTTCTCTTCTTTTCCGATACCCTAAGAGATTGCAGAAAGTGTAAGTTTCCAAAAACTCCAAATTGGCACCCCACTCACGAATTTTTACCCCTATGAGATCCGACGAGCATCCCCTTTTACCGCCGAGTCCTCCCCCTCCCCTCCCTTCCCCCGGGAGTTTATCATTTTATGAACTTTCGGTGTAAAAGTGAGATGTTTGGTGGTAAATATAAAACGGATAACAACAATAAGGAGAACATAATACCTGCAGAAAATAAGTCAAAAACGAAAATCCTCCGAATGCAAGAAACATCAAAGACCAGAAAATAGCCTCCTCCTTAAAAACATCGGGCTGGTTCACCTTAGTAAAGACCTGAAACATGAACAAAATTATATTTGAAAAGAATGATTAAAATCCTATTACTTTTGATCACTTTTCCAATGAATGTGTATAAAGATTAGACCTTCTGTTATACTCACATTCAAAATTTCTCCAAGAATCAAAGCAAAGATAAGGGCAAAAACACCATTTCCCATGGAAGCAAACACACCAAGAGCTATATACGGCCACTCGGGCTCGTTGAGTTTCAAAATACGCAAAAACGATTCAGGTTTCACATCTTCTTCAATGATTTTGTCTTTGTTCTTCTTGTCGACCTTAAAATGACCGTTCACAATATTAATCTAGAATAAATAGCTGGTTCTTTTTTGTGGAAGGGAGAGAGGATGATGGGCTTCTTTCGGCGAGAAGTGGGAAGCGTTTCCAGACTTCCCCAGAGAGAGCGAGAGAGAGAGAGCGTGAAATGCCTGTCACGGAGTCTATGTAATACCTGGCTTTTCCTTCGTTTCCCGGCAGAGTGAAGTCTTTGTGATGCACGTAGTGAGAGCTTTCTTTTCATTGCCTCTTGTTCGCTGTTTTTGTCATTGGAGGTTATTGACATTCTGCGATCATTCTTGGAGTCTGAAAACGCAATAAAATCAACTTAAATTCTCCAGAACAATTTTGCGGACACCCCACATACATACATAAATACACAAATGCTGCTAATGACAAAATGTCGTCTATATTGACCAGCAACTTTATATATACACTTGGAATTAACAAACAATCACTGGAAAAAATCGCGCTCTTTAAAGGTTGTAAATTTGATGTAAATATGATGTAAGTGTCCAAAATTCAGTAAATTTAATGGGAATCATTTACAACCTTTAAAGCGCGCGATTTTTTCCAGTGAATATACCTGTTGTTTCCACATCTGGCAAGATTGAAACATTTTCTTTGCTTTTTTGTACTTCGTCTTCTTCTTTCTCTTCATTCTCTTCAAATGTCTACAACATTTGATTAATAAACCATTAGTATTTTTCTCTGATGATCAATGTTGTTGACTTAGAAAGCTTTGATCCGTCGAATAAAACATCTTTACCAGCAGTACCTGGCCACAATTGTACTTTATTTATTCTGTTGATATACTATGTTGCAATTACCTGTAACATGACAAGCTGCTTGTAGACCCCATCATGAGCTATGAGTTCACTGTGAGAGCCCAGTTCTGCTATAACACCATCTTCAAAGGCAGCAATCATATCTGCATTTTTGACAGTCGACAAACGATGTGCAATGATGATAGTAGTGCGACCTTCACTGGCCTGCGATATTAATGGTATAGTGATAAAACTGATTTTCTTCAAGACAGGAAATTCAAACTAAATTTAAGTTTGGACTATCATTTCATCATTAAATCCCATCGTACATGTAGATGCAAATATTCAAAATAATTGTAATTGTCAATCTCTCACCCTCTCTAGTGCTGCCTGGACTAAAGATTCACTCTCAGTATCCAATGCAGATGTTGCTTCGTCCAGTAAAAGTATTTTAGGATTGCGCACCAGAGCACGTGCAATTGCAATACGTTGCTTTTGGCCACCACTGAGTTGAGCACCTCGCTCTCCAACAAGTGTTTCGTAACCCTAAGTAAAGAAGCAACATTACATTTGAWGTCATTTTCTGGCTACTTGCATGGTATTATATTGACTTACATTAGGAAGCTTCTGGAYAAAGTCATGAGCGTTAGACATTTTGGTAGCTTTTTCAATGTCTTCCTGGCTGATCCCATCTTGTCCATAACGAATGTTTTCAGCAATTGTAGTAGCAAACAAGACTGGCTCTTGGCTGACAACACCAATAAATCGTCTCAACCAGCTAACATTCCATGAATTGACATTTCTGTTGTCTACTGAAACCTTGAACAAGTGCGTGAAATCAAGGATTATTAATCAGTCAAAAACTGGTACTAAGTTTATTAACTTCATTTCTTGGTGCTACTATTCAGAAGGAATAGCTGCTAGGAAGTGGATTGTAAGCAAAACCCTACCTCTCCACTCTGAGGATCGTAGAACCTCTGAATGAGTTTGATAGTAGTACTTTTACCACATCCACTTTCACCAACAAGAGCAACAGTCTGTCCAGCACTAATTTCAAGGTTGAGACCATTCAGAACCTGTTAAAAGAAAATAGAACAATAAAACAAGGAAACAAACACTATGGAAATAACATGTGTGATAGTGTCCAAGTTTACAAGAGTGAGTTATGTCATTTTGTGTCAAAGTAGCTATACAAGATGCTAAACAAAGGTTGGCCTTTTGTATTTTTGAATTCTGTCCCTAGCGCCCTGGATGGGTACCGTGACACCACGCCTATTTTTGAAAGTCCTGCATGATATTAATGGCAAATAATGACCGTGGCGTTTACAATGATGATGATTTCCTGATGTCACTTATCTTATGATGATAATGATCATGAATGATGACAACATAGATAAAAATATTTTATCACCTTAACATCATCTCTTGATGGATAGCTAAAGAAAACATCCTTGAATTCAATGTTACCAGAAACATCAGTCGGTTTATCTCCTTCTTCTGAGCTGACATCAATTGGTGGTTTGCGATCGATAATTTGGAATAATTCGTAAGCTGCTCCTCTAGCTGTTGACACTGCTTCTGCATGTGGTCCTGCCTGGCCAATTTGTGTTGCACCCGTTAATACCGAGAAAAAGACCTGGACATCAAAAACATAAATCAATACAAATTAACAAGGTGATTAGATACAACATTAATTCAATCTGTAGATGTTATCGACTTTAATCTTTAAAATGTTGTTATGTGGTTTTTCTTTTCTCTTACCAAAAGGAGATTTCCACCAGTGAGTTGCCCATCCAAAACTAATGTTGAGCCATACCTTTATGTAATAATTCCATAAAGGTATTATTAAATCAATAAATTAAATATTAACATTTACAATGTATAATGCATACTGCAGTTACAGTCATGTTATGGTTACATTCAGTACACAATTTAACTCTGAAATATTATTTGGTTCATATTACCAAAATGCCAAGGCATAACTTCCAAACATGATGAGGTTAAAGAAACCAAAGCCAAGTCCCATAGTAAGTCCTTTCTTTATACCGTACGCTTGAGCTTCATAGAGATTGGCAGAATACCTAATTGATAGATTATACACAACAATCTGTCAGTCAAGTAACGCTGGGAGGATAACATGTCCAGTTACAAAAGACTTGCCTCTCGCTTTCTTTGTTTTCCCCTCCAAAGGCTGCTACTGTTTTGATTGAAGATAAAACTTCTTCAGCGATGGCACCTGCCTTAGCATAGGCATCAAGCTCTTTTGTTGTGAAAACTGTTATCACCTATACACATGTATAAGATTACAAGAATTATGTCATGACAATATTATATCTCTTAGAAAATCTTACAAAAGAAAATCTTACAAAACAAGTAAAGTTAATTTGTCTCATACTGTTAATAGCCTATTGCAAAACTTTTATTATTGTGTAATTTTCATGCAAGCAATCGTGTCATTTGTAACTTGGAGATTGCTTTAATTGTATGATAAATTCATATTGCTTGCTGCACTATCAATGAAATGTTTGCTTTTTCTCCTTCTCAATTTCTTTTTCAAGTATTCAATATAATTATCAGGCATAGTATTTGGATTCAGAATGTCTTCTTAGTAGAAATGAACTGTCAAGTTTGACAGAAATTATATTAAATTAATGTTTATTCAGTTAAAATTGAAAATATGAAGAAGTGAATATATTTCAGGTTTTCATTGTCTTAATCTAAAAAAACTAGAAGTATAGAGGACCTCATGGACAATATAAAAAACTTGTTTTTCTTTAGTCATTTAGGTTTATTCACATCTTTCAAGCATGCAGCCAATGAATGTTGTCTTGCATTGCCTCTCAAGTGTTTTGTTCACCTGTCTTGGATTACAAACAAACTGGATTCTGGATCTCTTTGCAAATTCATTATTTGTCACATGTCAAAGAATGCTAAGAAGAGAAATAATTATAGTGTAATCTAGCACACAAATTGATCTTCAAAATTACCTTTGCAATAATTCCCCCTGCAATGATCTGCAAAGGGACTAGCGACAAGATAACCAAAGTTAGTTTCCAACTAAACCCAAAGCCAATGCCAAAACCAGCAAAGAAGGTTGTGACAAACTGGATAGCAATCCCAACTTTGCCTCCAAGCCCTTCAGCCACTTTATTGATATCACTGTCCATAATAAAATGACATTAAAAAATATATAACAACTGAAACATCAGCCATTTTTGCTGAATCAGAGTACTTACTCTGTCAACCGGTTATTCAACTCTCCAGCTTCATACGTGTCAAACCAACCGATATCCTGACGCATCACAGCTTGGAAAAATGCTACACGCATTTTCTTTGTTTGTCTTGCAGCTGACCATGAAAACATACCCATCTGAAGGTACGAAACGATCAGAGTACCAATGGCCAGATATACATAATACAATGCTAAGTCTGTCATCATGCTCTCTAGTTTTCCTGAAGTAGATAGAAGCTTTTCAAAATCAATTAAACTGTCCACAAGTCTTCCAAATATGATAAACTGGAGAGGTGTAGCAGCACCATGACAAACGGCTCCCAGAACACCGAAGAAAATCAGAATCTTGTCAGTAGTGTCAGCAAATTGGAACTAGAAAAAGAAAAACATGAAAGACAATCTGTGCATACACAACTGAATATAACCCAGAATCTAATTATAGTAAGTTGCAGTGATAATCATTTTTTACATATTTTAGCATTTTTTTTATGACATAAAGTTTTGTTTAACCTGTTATTTTTTAAGACATAAAAAAGATGCAAAAATAAGACTTCCAAAAGAAAACAAGCATTTTTAACAGAACACTTTCTAATGAAGGCTTTATCACGCAATAGTACAAACAAGGGCAATCAAAGTGCATGTTTGCAATATAGTGGTGCAATATGTGGATATGACAACCATGTTTATTTGACCGTTCTTAAATAGTCAGTATTATTGGAAAGATATTTACCAGCTTTGTAAATGGGACCATGGGTGGTGCTTCTTTCTTTTCTTTGTCCTTTCTGTAAGATAACATTATGCACTTAAATATTATTATGTTATTTATAAAAAAATAACTTGCAAACTCAAGTGTGATTATAAGAAAATTCATGCGAATTTTTTCTTATGTTAGACGAATTAAAGCAGTGGAAATTGTGTACTTTCTTGCTATTTTGCATTCTTTTCTACTATTGTTTTGCAGCGAGCATTACGTTCAAATTTTCTCTCAGTTGTCAACAATCTGGCAATCATGATACATTGCAATGTTATCCTCGAGTCATACATGCATCAGGAGTTCCAGAGAACAATGCATCCGCCATCTTGAAAAGTGAGACTCAAATCACTAAATTATAACTCCTAAAGAAATCAAAAGGTTCTAAGTTAATGTAAATCTAATATAATATACGTTATGATGATAGATTAGTTGACTAAGCAGCTATGAAATTTGTTCTAAGGCAAAACAGTGATTCAGGGCTCACTTTTCAAGATGGCGGACACATTGTTCTCTGAAACTCCTGATGCGTGTATTCGCAAGAAACAACATTGTACTTTTCAAAATGTACTTTTCAGATAAAGTCAACTTTGCTGTATACACCCTGCTTCTCTAATCAGAGTCGTTAAAAAATATAGGTATTACGAGCTACAGGATGATAACACGAATAAACCAATCAGAACATAGATTAGTAATTTGATCTCAGTCCGTACAGGATAATAACACGTATTAGCCAAATACCGTCTTAAACAGCTAAAAGTGACTGACAGATCAAATGATACTTCTAGACTTCACTTCAACTTTATTTCGTAGCAATTCAGCTTAGAATAGTTACTAAAATGGAGTTTTGTACTCTGTATTGTTGTCTTTAGATTTATCAAGTCTTTTAGGTATAGTTTAAAACACGAGAGAGAGTGTTTTATCAGGTATAAAGATTCAAGCAGAAGGCGAGAATCTTTATACCTGATAAAACACGATCTCGAGAAATGGCTTCAAAAACTCCAACACTAATTTGAAACTCAAATCCGTTAAAATTCTTGGAGAAATTGCTGTACAAATATGTTCAGAGATAAATGGAGCAAACTGATCATGCGCGAATCACTTTAAAAAGCACTCTTGTAATCCCACATTGAATACGCATAAAGTAAAATAGAATTACCGCTTTTCGCTGTTCACTGAAATCAGTTGACATCCTGCATTGGTCAATGATCAGTTTCAAACCTGAGACCTTTGCTAGGGTCATGGACCTTTATATCTGATAAAGGTCACCCTTATTAGTATTCTTTATATAAAGAATACTAATAAGGAGTGTTTTATCAGATATCAAGGTCCATGCATGTGACCAATCAAATAGTCTCATTCTAATTGGGCTAATGACTCATTAATTATGTATGAGTTTTTGAAATATTTTTACACCGCGAAGAATGCTTTATTAAAATTACTGTCTCCAGTATATCATTATCCAACAAATTGTGAATAATGATCTTCTAAAACAATCATTCTTTGTCTCTAATTTAGCCATTTGGTGGGGGAATGTTTGGTGGAGACTTGTCAGAAACAATTAGATTTGAAGCAAGGAAGGGTGGGGGATTTGTTCCAATTATCATGGATACATGCATCGAAAAAATATGACAGGATGGTAAGATTTTGTTTCTGAAACCAGAAAACATTGGTCAGCATTGGTCAATGATCAGTTTCAAACCTGAGACCTTTGCTAGGGTCATGGACCTTTATATCTGATAAAGGTCACCCTTATTAGTATTCTTTATATAAAGAATACTAATAAGGAGTGTTTTATCAGATATAAAGGTCCATGCATGTAACCAAATAGGCTCATTCTATTGGCCTAGTAGCTCATTAATTATGTATGAGGTTTTGAATGATTTATCAAGTACATTTTTAAAAGTGCAATTGTAAAAAAAGTGTTAGTAGCAATGTCTGTTATTCATGAATTATCACTATGCTTTGTGTAGAGCACAACATCTTGATTGAACTTTCACATATGACAACACTTTGAGATTGCCGCATGAAATTCAGCAATTGCATTAGAACACCAATTATCATAAATACAAGTATATTTTTGTACTTTTTTGAATCATCATCTTTATCGTCTTTTATGTCTTTAGTTTCAGGTTTTTGAATGTCATCACTTGGTGCGTATCGAACACCAAGGTTATCAATCCCCCCATTACTATAATGGTTGTCGTAAGGTGGTGGTGGTGGTATATCTTCATCTGTTTTTATGGTACCATTCATTGTGGATTTCACTACAGATAAATGCAAAACATAAAATATGAATTATTCATAGTTATAGCTGGCTGAGAAAGCTGTTACTGAAAGAGAATTAAAAGAGCATTTCAGATATAATCTGAGGGTCAGGTATACATTTAAAGAAGTTGTACATTCAATAGAAAATAACACAAAGAATTAGTGCAATAAGCTTATATATACACCAAAAATGTATGCAGGATATTACTGTGATTTACTTGAATGAAACATAATTTAAAGAATTTTTTTTTTTGCGATTTTCAAATTTTCACTTTGTACTTTGCGTCAAAGGTACAACAATTTTTGTTGTTTACTATGATAAAAACCTTGAGCAAGCAAAATTATGGATGATAATCATGGAAAGATGCAATTATATAGTATTTCTGCTGATAGATGTAATGATTCTTTCTTTCTTGAAGACCTACATATTTAGTACTTTTGGAATAAATTTTGACAATGTGCCACACAAAAAAATGGTGTTTCCTGAACTTCTCAAATTGTGAAATGACATGCCTAGCCTTAAAATGAACTTTGCAATCTCCATCGTAAGCAAAAACAACAACAAACTAACAAACAAACAAAAGCAAAAAACTAATGGCCCGTCCCTTGTGTTACCCGAGTAAATTCAATTATCTGCATTTAATTATATTAAACTTATTATTGTTTGTGAATTTTATGTGATGAAACCCAAGAATGGCAGCAGGTCAACACAGCCGTTAATATGTTAAGTGTTCTCAAAATAACAACTTGTTTACATAAATCCGTTTAGATATAGCTGATGTCAGGACAGCGCTTTACGGATGTAAAACAGCTGGATTTGAAAATAGAACCGATCCCAGGAATACGAAAATTTAAGCTTATAAATCGGTTAAATTAAACAAACATATCAAACTATCGGTTAAATAGATACTTCAACACATAGACTTGGATACTGCAGCTAATGAAGTATAATATTAACTGAAATAAGCTATAATACAACTGTTATATTAAGCTTACATAGCTTATGCAAGAGTAGTTACAACGGCGATTCCTTCATGAATATTGCAGCTGGATTTTTACATTTACTTATAGACGACATAGACAAGACGACCACTCCATATTAATGAAAGCTATATATTATGACAGTTAGTGTACAATTAAACAATCGAAAACAAATACACTTACCTTGGCTATCCCATGAAGTGTTTTAAGATGTTCTTAATCAACAAACTTCGCCATGCATGAAAAACAATGTCGTCAAGACACACACACTGACCGCTGACCACAGAAATCGCGGGCCTATATGCGGCACGGTTATGAAATGCAGTGACTTTATTTATTTATTTTTTATTTTTCTTTATTTATTTATTATGAAATGCAGTGACTTTATTTATTTATTTTTGATTTTTATTTATTTATTTATTATGAAATGCAGTGACTTTATTTATTTATTTATTTTTTTATTTATTTATTTATTTATTTTTTATTTTTTTCACGTCGCAGTTTAGCAATCCCAAGGGACCCATAATCCAAGGTTCGATCCTCGATCGTCTGAAAACTTTGCGCGCTACGTCATAACCGTGTTACAGTAGTGCACAGGGGTAGACATCATCGCCTGGGGTTCGTCTATTTCCTCCCCCGATCATCTGCCTAACATGTGGATGGGTGACCTCACGGACACCTTATTGCATGTCATTTTTCATTGATTTTAGGATATTTATTTATTTAAGTTATTGATTCAAAATCTCCTTTCTTCAAGTAAAACTGTAATTAAAATATTCTACAGAGATATAATCATCAAACCCACAACTTGAAAAAAATTGTGAAACGCAATCCTTTGAAAAGCTAATCTCTCCTTTGATGCCTATCCGGCATTGCCGAGGGTCTCAAGGGGGTGGTACGCATCACGACTCACGGCTAACAATTTGGCGTTGACTAATTTTTTCGAATCACGGTTAAGTAGATTACTTTCATAAATTTTTGAAATACGTTTTTCATTACTTTTTCATAATTTGTTTTGTGCAAGAGATAGTGAGTGTGGGAGCACAGTGTCCCCGGGCTTGCACATTGTACGGGCTTGTACGTTATAGACACTCAGTTATTATAATCAGTTTTTATCATCACGGCAAATGTCAAATTTTGTCCATCCCCTGACCTGTCTGCAGGACCTTGCAATATATTACTACCTTGTTGGTAGGTGCGATCCATTAGAATTTTGAGGAGGTGTGGGTGGAAAAGTGAAAGATTTAGGGAAAACAATTCCTGAACGGCCCGAAGGGCGGGAAAAAAATTCTTTCAATGCAAAATTTTGAAATCTCCACTAAAGCTTTTATTTTTGAATTTACAACAACAAAAAAATGCAAGCGCGCCTGGAGTTGCCTGTCCTTCTGAGGGATAAAACTGAATCACGGCTCACGCTATAAAAAAATATTCACGCCTCATGGTTAATTTTTTCGCGTTTTCACGACTCACGGCTAATTTTTCAGACGTTTCACGGCTCACCATTAACCGTATTGAGACCCTCGTATCAAGTCACGCAGTCTATTCATAAGGAAATTATTTCCAACCTCCTTTCCAACTCAAATTCAGAAAAGAGTCTTTACTATTGTAAATAAGTGCATTTGAGTTCTTTTAAGCTTTTTAACGTTTTCCATCCGTCTCCTTTTTCGGGCGAATTGAGTTGGAAATCGGTCGTAGAAAATGTCCGTATGAATAAGACTGCGTGACTTATTCGTACGGACACGATGTTGTCCTCATTTCCCGGGGGGGAAGGGGGGTTGCTCTCTTATATCTCCTATATTCGCTATACGCGGGGACGTGCCGCCAACCAGGGTATCGTTTTCAGCGATTTTACTCTGGAACAGGATCAGGGTTTTGATGTCCCAGCGGCACACCCCCACCCAAGTTTGGGGGCCTCATTCAAATCTTGAAATTTAACAGAAATACGGAAGAAACACACACAGCTGATTTAAAAGCGTCGAAATCAATAGTTAGAGAAACGAGAATAGTTTGAAAGCAAAGAGTTTAGGTAGTTTTGAGTTGTAAAGAGGTCCGTGAAAATGTCCGTATGAATGGACTGCGTGACTTATTGGTACGGACATGAATTTTTCTCTTTCAAATGATTAATCATAAATTCATACACAAGAAACATAGCAGGTATTGAGAGCATAGTAGTGACATTGCTGCATTCCGTGTCTGACATCGGAGTTAACGAAATTTCATTGAGTGTTTGCATTTCGCGAAGATGTATTATATGCCTGGCTAAATGTGCATGGTAAAATCGCGAAGTTTGCAGCGTATTCATATTATTATTTGACTCTAAACAAAATTATAGAATAAATGAACGTGACCTTGACATCTAAAAAGTCATTTTTATCATTTTTGTGACGAAAGGCATTGTGGGGCCTACGTTACTATGTCATGATGATGAGTGACGAACCGTAACCATCCACTTGTAGCAGGCGTTCCTTGCGAGTCCTTTAAGCTGAAAAGAGAAAATCACTGGAAAAAAGAAAACAAAGTGAAAACAGCAAAGAAAAAGACTAAATGAAAAAGAGAAAAAAAGAAAGAATAAAAGAAAACTAGAAACAAACGCAAAAAAAAACAATACGCAAGCAAAAAAGAGAAATTCCTGCAGCAGGACTCGAACTCAGAACTTTCACTTCAGGAGAAGATGCACCCCCCCAGAATACATAAGAAATAATAAGAATAAAAATCTAAAAAGATGGGACGATTCCCCCGAGACATTCTATGAAGCTGAGGCGTCGAATCGGCTTACGTTACGGTTAGAGATTTCGGCTCTTCCACGCTATCCCGAGTGAACATAAAACTTAGTCTTAACCAAAAGGCCAGGGAGTGAGGGGGTAGCCGCCCACTAGAGCATACCTTTAGCTACCCTCTTAGACCATCGTACTATGAAGACACTTATAGATATCTAATATCTAATTGGGGTTGTCTATTCGGTGAAGATCTATGCCAATATATGACGTCACCAAAATCCAAAGGGAGTAGCGAGCCAATCAGAGATCAGCTCAGGAATTAGCAAACGATACAGGTTTTGCATAATCATTCTTCAGTAGATTTATTATTTGACGGGGGTGGGGTGGTAGTTTGTGGCCGAATACCGATGTTCGGTGTAATGTGACGGCTTTCACCAAGCTGTTCAATTTTCGCATAGTTAACTATGGTTTTCGTTATTGTTGTCCAAATCATCACATTTTAAATTAGTTTTACAGTTCTTATATCAGACAGGCATTACTAGTATATGGAAAAACACGGCAAAAATCTCTTGAAATTCTTAAGACCGTATTTTGTCGACATGAAGTCGAAAGCTCTAAATTACTATACTAAGATGAATTCGTGCTTTTCGAAGACTGTTGTCAAGGTAAACAAAAACCTTCTAAGCTAGTAAAAGGATTGGCTTTTAACGATCGCGAAGACTGTTTTCCATATTCTGAAAGAGAATTCAAGTGCATTTCAAACGTTGTTTTTAAGATAAGAAAACTAAAAGAACCAAAGTCAACTTTATACTCAAGGCCATTTCGAAATCTGTTGTCAGTCAACATACTGCAGTGTAACTACGGCACGTGCATGTAAACACTTATTGTTAAGGATTCGCGCGAGAGCAGTAGTTTGTTTTACAGACAGATATCAATAAGGAATAATGTTTATAGAATGCTATAAAGAAATGAGTGGATAAATAAACATACGGGTATTTTTTTTTTTTTTTTGATTTCAATGTTTCGATGGGTTAGTATAGCATGTATGTTTCACTAATAAACATGAATCTCCCACCCCCTCCCCCAGTAAGTTTTATACAGTCACGAAGTATTTCCGAGCACTTCATGGTCAAATGAGTCCAGTTCGAGATTCAGCTCAAATCCGCATATTAATGAATCTCTTTTGTTTCGCTGTGATTTTGAATCTCGCGCGGTTTACACCAGTCTATTGTTTTAGTTAATCGATTGTGACCATATATGGAAGACCATAGAAATCAAAGTTTCTACCAGATTCTTTGATACGGACTCGGCACAAAATGCTAGAAAACGAGAATCCTGCATACTTCATGCCGAATTTCTATTCCTTCCCATGATACTCTTCGGGCGTGCATGCGAGCTTCCTGGACTGAGTCTTCAGAACAGAGCTTTTTCTCAATCTGTATAGACTTAATTTGATGCAGAAAAAGCGCTGAGACATGACTGTTCTAGCGTGGAGGTGTCCAAAATAAATGGACTTTTTGCTGGGAAAATGCATTTTGACACTCAAAATTGAGTGTTTCTCACCGCTATCCAAATTAGTTCAAAATCTAAATCCTAGCAATTCCTTGAAAGCCAGGCCGTTTTTCCCAGATTTTCTCGTTGATGTGTAATTTTTTGTGCTGTGTAAGGTTTCGGTGAGCGCCGAAGGCGCGATTTTTGTAGGGGGGTCCGGCCATGCTCCTCCCCTCCGGAAAATTTTGTAGTTTTAAGAGCTTCGAGAAGATATATGATGCATTAATGTTATGGAAATTTTGAGTAACTAAACAATTAAAAAGACATTTTTGCTCGTGAAAATAAAAATTTATTTGATAGATCTTGTGACATTTTTTTTCTCTTCTGCGATCTGCAACACTTAAGAGTCCAAAATTCTTCTTTCGGTTGTTGTTGCGTCCAGCCAGGGCATTGGCGATTTAACTGACATTCAGCTCCTCTGTTTCTCTCTTATGGCAATTTAGTAGGGTGAGATTGCTGAATCGTTGCTGTGTCATATTTGATCTTAGCCAGGTTTTCAGACGTCTGCTGCTGAAAATGATCGTTCGCACGAAGCGCTGGTCGTTGGATTGACTGGCAACAGCTTACATAGGGTGACCGGCTCACTATAACTAAGCTTTTTTCTGCTTTGGATACTTTCTTAACTGCGGAAAGAATGCAATCAAAATATTCCATAGGACCCTCGCCCTTCAGTATCTGACGCAGGACTTGAAGTTGACTCTTTAACGTTTTCAACTTGATGCCGTCACATATGCCTTCAGTATAGTCGATCACTGATCATTGTCGTTTTTTTTTTTTTTTTGTATTTTTTTATCTTATCGATTTCATTTATTATTAATTTTTCGGAAGCAAAAAGTGGGGGGACCGCGGGGGACCGCATAAATTTGGTGCCAAGTGGTCGTTAAAAAGCGTGGTCCAGTACCGCACCACGTTAAGGGTGAATTTAAGAGCACTCATGATAAAACACGGTTTAATTTGATAGAGCCCATATAATAGTTTTTAACACCAATTTTCA